TTAATCGAGCTGTGAACAGGTTGGTTTGGGTTGAACAATCTGTTTGTTTGAACAATTAGATGCCTTATTCTGTTGCAAAATTTGATATTCTTTGTTCATTTTCAGCTTTGTTTTCTGCTAGATGGCTTGAACATAACCAGTACACGATGTCAAAGCTCATGAACCAAATAGTTTCTATGAGAGATAACCAGTACACGATGTCAAAGCTCATGAACCAAATAGTTTCTATGAGAGATCTTTACTTGCTTTTACACTAAACCGGATAATTTTTCTTAGAAATTGATTGGACTTATTTCTTGGGGAAAATAGTTTTCAAATGGGGGTGTGTCTTGGCATCATGGTAAAGTTGTTTGTTTGTTAACAATTTTTCTTTTTTACTGAGACCTTGATTAGGCTCGAGGTTTTAAATACTAATTGGACCATATTTACTGTTCCAATCAAGTATGAGTATCGAATTATATATTTCATCCAAGGTGGTATGACTCGGTCTGTCTGTACCAAACTAGTCCTATAGGTCACTGAAATCATTATTAGGTCAATGTTTAAATACTTGAATTGGACTTTTCTTTTTGGTGGAAAATGGATTCTAAATAATAGCGAGTCTTGTAGTCATAATAAGGCTGCTCATTTGCTACATGAATGATCAGCATTCAGAAGATAGTTTCTCTGCTTGAAGAAATAAGATTGGGTACTAGGCATTCAAAACATGACCAACCCTTCCCACACTCCGCATTGGCATGAACTTTGTGCGTTAGGCAGTCGTTTTTGTTAAATAGGTTCAAATGGTTTTTTCAAAAGCTCATTAGATAATAGGGCATGCGGGCACTGATCGTGTTTCCCTTCACCTGAATAATTCATCCTAATATGTCTTATTTCACTCATTTTAGGCGCTTTTTTGGCTTGGAGTTGTCTTGAAATTCTGACCATGCTTTGTTTGCTTTGAGATGCTACAAGTCGTACATAGGACATGTCAGTCCAATGGTGGCTGCTTACTTTGAGAGTTGACATATAATGCTACATATGATGTGCCAATGGTTAAAAGCTGAATCTCCAGTCTCCACTAGTGGGTGGTATTAACAAGAATAGAAGTTAGGAAATCGATAAAAAAAAAATCAGTCGGCTCTTGTAGCAACTAGTGGAGCATAGGCATAAACAAAAACCACTGGTTCCGTATTTTTGGGTAAGAGACCAAGCAACCGAATCAAGTTAATAACTCACTCAACAAGAGGATCTTCTTCTAGAGGATGAGTGATAGGTCATAGCTTTACAAAAGACTCATTTCCACAATGGAGTATACGTAGGGCTCTACAAAGGACTCTAGTATACATTTTTTAGCCCCAATTAGTGGGATGCACTTTTGGTAAAGACCTATAGAACAGTTCTGATATGCTGAATCATTGCTTCTTCAATGTCTACTATAGGCAATGTTGTCCATGTCATTTAAACCATAAGTTTCAAATTCTTCATGTGTTTACCTTTTCCCCTCAGCTTCACAGTTGTTTCACGGCATCCACGCCTCATATGGTAGCATGAGCTGGAACATTATGGAATATGGATTATCAGAAAGATGTTAAAGATGATTGGAGAAAAGATAGAAGCGATGGGTCGATCACAACTGTTCTATTGGTCTTTAACAAAGATAGTAGATGATCGGTAGAATGTTGTAGCATAGGAAAATGAACATGTTGCATGGGAATAGCCCATTATTTTAGATGAAGTGAAAATAAATGAGGATCATGATTCTAAATGAGCATTAACATCATTGGATGATATTGCAGCTACTACCACGTGCCTGTTATGTTTTATGTTGGATACAATTCAGAAACCATTTTAGCGAACCAAATACCAATTTAATTACGGCATATGATGTGCTCCATAAAGACTTCTGAAAACTAACCAATTATACTCTGTTCTCTTGTAGGTTTGTCCTGTCTGCAATGCCGAGGTTTCTACTTCAGGGACTAAGCAGAATTGATATAATATGTAAAGGGACCATTGTCTTATTGGGATGCTCTTAAGGAGATTGCCTTGTGCATAAAATTCAGTACAGATGCCCCAACCATCAACTCAACTTTGTCATGAAATTGCACTTAGCTGTAGTTTTCCATCAAATCAGAAAATGTGACATTATGTTGTTACCATTAGTTATCCTCCTCAATGTACTAAACCTAGAGTACTTTTTTGGTCAACCTGGCTGCCAAATTTGTTATTGCTGAATGACCTGCAGAACTGCATGATAAAATTGTGACGAGTAATATGATCCGTGATGGTAATCGTGACTATCAAATTCGATAATGTTTAACTATCTATCGTTTTTCTTTCAATAGAGCGAATAGATCTGTCATTTTTTAAAATTTTTATTCAAATTCAAAATCATGGTGTACCGTGTATTCTCTTTCGTTTCGGTCAATGAAATCTTTCATTTTTTCTGTACTTGAAGATAAATTCAATAAATCTTGCTGCAGGAAATGTTTCTGACTCAAAGTTGAGAAATGATAGTTTTATGAAACAACATATATGTTTTTTTTTACAAGGGTAATGGTGAAGACTGGATTTCAGCATCAGACATTGTTATTAATAGTTAAGGTCTTCTTCAGATAGTATTATGTTTTTAAAATAATAATCACATTATAGACCCAGACTACGATTTGAAGATCATGCACTATGCTAATCATATTGCAAGTTTCAGCATTCAAACTAAACAATCTGACCATGTCGGAGGCAAATGGTCAAACAAGGAAAAAATGACAAGACCACAGCCTCTTAAGATTTATTTTGGTCAAATTATTAAGTAGTCTTGAGTGCTGGATGGAGAAATTGTTACGGCTCATGTTTTTTATTTTTCTCAAACGTGTCATTAGCTTGGAATCGATAGATGCGTGTCTGTCGGCAACAATGATTTAGACATGGTTCATGTCATGGAGCTAAATTTGACTGAATTGAGATGCCATTCTCATTGGAATTGGTCAAAATTATTTACCTTCAATTTGTGGCCAAAATTCCTGCAATTGTGTTCCATCCATTCAAGCAAGATACTTGCCCTTGTTCCCATGCATCTGTTTCTTTCGTTCTTCATCACTGGGGTAAGGTGAGAGATGGAGAAGGGAAACAAGATCGTCAAACCCCTTGTTGATGATGATGTATTTGCATATGAACAAGTGATTTATTGTCTTCATGTGGGTCAGAAAATGACTACTGAGTTGTGATTTCATCTTGACGCCAAATTTGTCTTTGGAGTTGTTTTTCTTGTCCAACCAATATCAAGTTCACATTTGTTCACAATGAATATATAACCCTCCCCAAAAAAAATATCTTCAAATTCATGAGTACTGAAGTCAATATATCTGACTTCAAACCACCTCATTTCTTAGATGATACAGAGGCTTATTTCATCTAAGGATTAATCTTTTCTACGGTGGCCATCTCACCATAGGTCCAAACGAGCCCTATAGAGTTATACTCCTGTTGTTGTGGGAAACAACTTTGAGCCGTGGCCTTGGGGCCGACGCGGTTCGGTTCGGGTTCGAACGACGGGGATCTCCTTGGGGCGTTCCTCGAGCCTGCTGAGGCGATCGGGTACGGTGTCCGATCGGGACGGTGTAGCCGTCTCCTCCGGGCAGGAACTCCTCGCCTGCGCGTCCGGAGGGGACCTTCGGCTTCGCACCTGCACAAAGGTCGGGTTGAGATGCTCGGCCCGACCCCTCCGACGATCAAGTTAGCAGATGTGGAGAGAGTTTCAGATGAAGAAGTGTTTTTGTGCGTCTGTCTCTCCCCCCCCCCCCTCTTTCTAATGAACGAGAGGGTATTTATAGGGAAACATACTGCTTCCTGAGCTGCCCGTGGCATGAAGAATTGAGTTTTGGCCGGATGTTAATGCATCTCGGTTGACGTTCCGATCTACATTGACCAGGTGTTGTTGCGTGAGGCGTCATCTGACGTCACTCGAGTCTTATCATAATTACTATCCTCGTCAACTCCGACCCTTTCCTTATTTCTAATCCAATTAGATCCGGTCCGAACCGGCAAATCATGGTCTCGATTGAACCTATCCATTACGATTGAACCGGCAAACGCAGCACAAAGAAAGATAACCCTCAATTGCGATTAACCCAGACACGGGGACCCACACAACCTATTGCTGTTATGTATTATTGTAATTATCATTGTGGCCGGCCCGGTGGTCCCCACTTTGGACTCCCAGACCGACCCGGCGGTGTCCGATCACCACGCGTTTAGTGGGCCCCGCGGGGGTGGAAGGCAGGCGAGCGACTCGTTCCCCCGCCGTTCCTTCGCGGCTTACCCGCTCTCTCCCAAACCGTCCGTCGAGAAGCATAGCCGAGGTACCCACTTCTCTCACCCCGCCTGCCTAATGCCTCTCGGTTAAATCGGGTTATGGGACCCACGTTGGCCCCCACTGGCTTCGACTCAGAGGGCAGGTGGGACGGCAGTTGGTTCATCATGGTCGGGTGAGGCGACCCTTTTGGCAAAACAGGCCCTTCTTCGTGGGTCGCGCGGTCCTGCGACCAACGCGGACCGCCGTGGGGCTAACGGAAGGGCAGGACGGTAAATTCGGGGCGCGAGAAACAGCCCCCAGCCGCACCTCGCTTTCAGACTGCGAACTTGGACTCCCGACACACGCGAACGAGTCAATCCGAAGAACACGAGCGAAGACGGCGATGAGCCAGGACGAGGGGGGGGGATCCCTGGATAAGTACCGCGCCCCGCGGACCGGGGCAGGAGGAGTAAAAGGAGAATCCTAGGGCTCTGGTTCCTCGATTAGGTCTCTGCTGCAGGTGCCCCGATCGAGAGGGTAAGAGATGGGTTGCGTTTGCTCGAGCCGAAGCAGGAGTGATAGGAAGGAGAGGAAGGATGCTTTGTACGCCGATGGAGCGGAGGAGGTTGGTACTTTTGGAGATCGGAAGAGCAACTACAAGCTTTTCGATTCCGGCGAGCTCCGAGTGGTACCGACCAAGGCCGTGGCTGGAAAGGTGCTTCATTTATTGCTTGAATTGATTTCTTTACTTGTGGTTTTGGGCGATTGAGCTACATGATTAGAGAATTATCAGTGAGCTTGTGAAAGTGTTCTGGATGAAGGCTTAAAAGCTCTCCGATAAGATACAGGAAGTCGGCAAGAAAATGAGCCGGAGATGACGATATGCTGGTAGTGAGGCTAAGTTGAATGTATCGTACATGGAGATCTGAGTATTTTTAGTGGGTCATCGGTGCATATCGGGTTCTATTTTTTTTCACAGCAGGAAAGAAGAAAAAAGAATACCGAGTTGCAATCTTGTCTGTGATGCAGAGAGATTGGGATAATTGAATAAGATATGAGATTTCTTGTTTTTATTCCCCAAAGTTTGGGTTTACATGGAGGATTTATGAGTATGTAAGCCTAATGGTCACCCTTGATCTTTTTGCAAAATGTACAAGAATTTTAGGAATATAGGGGTTAGAGCAGTAATTTGGACTTTGATACAATATAGTTGAGCTCAGAAAGTGGACATGGGAAAGTGAACGATCCTGATTATTACGACCTACAAGTGTGCAAACGTAATGGATGCTCGTGAAAATCATTTTGCAAAATGTACAAAAAGTTTAGGAAGTTAGCGATCAGAGCAGTAAGTGGACAATGATACAGTCATACAATGAGTGTTTAGCTTGATAATTGAACATATGAAAATGGTAATAATCAATGGATACTGTTGAATTATATAACTATTTTGGAAGTCCTTCAATTAGAAATCTCTATGCTAGTCAACTCACATTGTGCAATTCTGTTCTGCTTTGTGACGACTAACAGATGATGTTCCATGTCACATGCCATATGGGTGCTCATGCAATGCATTGAGGAAGAATGGACAAAATGTCGAAGCATATATCGAACTTGCAGATGATGCCACCTTGCCAATCCATGCGATGAGTTTCTATGTGAGCTCTAAATGTATTGCATCTAGTCTTTTGTGGTTTCATAGTGGGTGAAAAATGACACATGGGATTTTTGCCTTACATAAGTGGATCCGATGTGTTTCAGTGAAGCCTGCAAAGAATCTGGAATGCACTTTCAAGAGAGGTAGTACGGGCTAAGGTGCATTTAGTTTGAAGACTAAAGAAAGGTGAGGGGCATTTGTTTTTGTCCCATTAAGAAAATTTGGAGCAGTACTTTGTAGAATTAGTCTTTGGCGGTAAAGGTAAATTACTTGAGAGTTTTGTTGTGCGGACAGGTCGTCAAGGAGCATATAAATTGAGGGGGAAGGCTTGTGTTAGTCGATGTGGGAACACGATAAGATTATCTCTGGTTGTGGTTGTTCAAGTTATGGTTTGAAGTTTGACAACACACTGATCATACTGTAGTCATCTGAGTGGGTATCGGTATGTTATTAATGTACTTACCTACCAAATACCAGTATTAAATAAATTTTAATTATATTTTGGGGTTATACCCATTTTGGGTCCGAATTGACTTGGTCGTCCAAATTCAACAGGTTTCCTTTATTGTATCAGATATGTATTTTAAAATTTGGTTCAAGTATCTTAGGGATGGACTTCCTCTAGGTGGATTTCGCATGAGCTTAGCTATCTAGAATCTGGGATTTAGGTATAGGCTGCTACATGATTATTAGAGTACACGTCATGGTTTCCATGCCATGCTGTGCAGTACAAGTCTGATTGATAATTTGATATTCCATATTTTATATACTGACACAAATACTTGTTATGCAATCATGCTGCATGCTTCCTCAGTGCTGGGATGTTATGTGCTGTGCTTGAGTGTTAAGCGCACTCCTTGAATTGTCAAATCATTGGTTATTGGCAAATTTGATCTTTGTTTCTCTATGTGTTTGTAAAATGAAACTGTGCATATGTTTATGTATTTGCATACTTAACTTTTATTTTGGTCATGCTTTACATGTCTTGTTGGTAGGGTTTGACAGAGAAGACATCCCACAACGATGACATAGAAATGTTGTGGGAACAAATCCAAATAGAATATTAGGGATGTCTGACCTCAATAGGGCATTCAAGAAGGTGCTAAAGAATTAATTATGGCAAGATAGAAGTGGAGGGAATCTGCTGTACTATTCTCATAGAAAGGAAGAAAAAGACGGACAAACAGAGAAACTGGGAGGACTATTAGACTGTCAGCCAGAACTTTCACATCTTTTATTTCTCAAATCAGTTGCACACTATTTTGCAAGGAGCATTTGATCTTTTTGTTGGAATACCCTTTCATGATATATAATTGGCTACACCTTTATTGATTATGAACTCTAATTATCTATTAAAGATATATTAGAATACCCTATTAAATATGAATCAGAATAACTAAAGATATATGCCTTTATCAATAGCCATTCTTTTCCTAATTTAAGAAATTCTGATCGCACAAACTCTTTCCTAAAAGATACATTCAGGATACACTAAAGCTGGGTACTGTTGTCAAAGTTGAAGAATATGATAAAATTCACATGTATATAAAGGATTGCTAATAATGGAGAGATTCCATCATGATATGAGGAAAAAATCTATTGCCTACTCATTGACAATTTCACATGTCACAAAAACTTCATATGCAATTTCTTTGAACTGCCCTCTAATGTAGATCATCATTTGATATGCCTCAATTCTTTTTTTTCTTTTCTACTGATTAATGAAGAGAGAATTGTTGTGTTGATGTTGCTGCTTTTTGTTGATATATTTTTCTTTGTTGTGACTTTCATTGGGTGGTTGGTCTATCACTAATTGCTCGACTTTGCTATCCTCTTTTTTTTTTTTTTTTTATCAATCTAGTCCAGATATTTTTAAGCTCTATAACTTGATCTACCCTTTGTCTTGCCAATTGATTCAAAAGTCCCTTTGAATCTTTGGTGGGTTTTATGTTGAAGGTGTATGTGGACCTCTCTCTTGCCTTTTCTCCTTTTTCTACTCTTTTCCTTACTTACCATGTTGACCTATTTCAGCAACACTTGTATATTACTTCTTAATGATGTTATCTGCTTGGTGGTTACCGGGTCTGTACCGGGCGATGAACCCAGTACAAGGACTTTACTGGGTAGTAATCCCTATACCAGGCTTCAACTGCCTGGTTTACGCTGGTCCAAGGGCTGACCGGTGGTTGGACCAGTATATATCGTCCCTACTATACCAGTTCAAGCGGTAACATAATCCTTGGTTAGAACCACTCAACACTGTGATATAGCTCTAAAACTAACTCAGAATATAGGAATAAGAATTAACATATTAAACCAGTATTCACTGCAACGGAAAGAAACGTAATATAAATCTTAAGCAAACAGTTTGGACAGTGACAATAAATTTGAGAAGTATAATTCATTCATTGTCAAACCTAAATTCTACTTTTACAATATTTAAAACTTTCAATGCCAATACTAATTTTTTTCTTGTTTTCTTATGCTTTACTTTGTGCATTTTGCAATGAAAAATCAGAGGGTTTTTGGAAAAGTTAATCACAGAAAACACGAGTTCATAGTTATTGACCTTTTTTAAAGTATCTCTTGTTAACGCTTTGACATGTAATGAATCTAAAAGCATATGTTTTCTGTGAGATCAAGATGTGCTTGTCTTTGTTGTAATTGTTTGAATTTGATTCTGATCATTGCCAATAAATGATTGGACATGACAACTGGAAAGCAGTCACCAATTGCCCAGATCCACCACTTATTTGTGTTCAATGATAGAAAGTTCTCAAGCAGAAATGTCTTTATTATATTATATTATGTTTTGAGAGAAACAAAACAATAGTCATTGTTTTATGAGTCCATGAACGATGAATTATCATAAAAGGGTGATATTATTTTCCAGTTTAACTGACCACTATTGGTGATGACATTTCTTAGGTACCAGAAACAAGTTCAATCCTGGGACGAGCTAGCATTGCTGGTCTGGAGAAAGCTGTAGAGGTTCTAGATACCCTTGGAAGTAGCATGTCAAACTTGAATCCTAGCAGTGGATTTACATCCGGAGTGACGGCCCGAGGATATAAAATTTCCATCTTAGCATTTGAAGTGGCAAATACAATTGCTAAAGGAGCTAACTTATGGAGAAGTCTTTCAGATGAAAACATCAATATCTTGAAAGAAGAAGTTTTGCAGTCAGATGGAGTAAGAAAACTAATCTCTGCAGATGCTAATGAGTTGCTGTGGATCACTGCCGCTGACAAAAGGTGGGGTTAGTAATGCAATCTGCAGATGTCGCATCTTATTAACTTGTATTATAGTTGTTTCTGGAACCTGATCTGATGCATAGCTGTTCTTGTATCACTGTAACAGAGAAGAACTTGACTTTTTTTCAAGAGAAGTAATTAGGTTTGGGGACCTATGTAAAGACCCAATATGGCACAATCTAGGTCGCTATTTTGAGAAGTAAGATGTCTCAATTTGCAAAGCATTTTAAGTTGTCCAAAACAGACTTTCAATTTGAAATATGATGGCTGATTGTTTCCTCAGATTGAGTTTGGATATGACGCCCACAGAACAGTCAAAAGAGGAGGCAGAAATGATGATGCAACTCTTAATATATTTGGCTCAGAGTACTTCTGTAAGTACATCTTGACATAAAACTGTTAATAGTCTCTATTTATCCTAAATAGTTTTTCATCAGTGATTTGAAAAAGAGGAAGAATATGCTTCTATCTGACATTTAGAAATCCACATTCTTATAGCATTTGGTGAATGAAATTCTAGGTTTTGTGCCAAAGGTTTCGATGAATCTTTCCATTTAAGTTCATTAAATTTTGCTCAAATGTTTGTTCTTTTCTTTCCTTTTCAGTATTATTGGGTTCTGTCACCTCCAGATTCCATTCTCATAGTTAATCAGTTAAAAGGGCTGCCATAGCTCAAATCATGTTCATTATTTGACAAAGCAAGCTCTTCGCTCGTCGATTTTTTTGGTTCTGCTATTTGTAGGTCAAATAAGGCTGGTTTTTTTATCCATGTAGCTGAATCTAAATAGTTGAGACTTTTGTTAATAGATAGTTTAATTTTATCTGTCATTGTGAAAACTAAGATTTTAGAACCAGTACTGTTATTGTATTGGCTGTACCATTACCAGCAGTACACCCTTCAAAAAATTAAAAAAAAAGTATAATCTTGATATTTAGGCTATAACATGGATTGATGAGCTACCATCTGATTGAACTGCCACATCTTAATTGTTCGATGGAAACATATAAACTTGAGCAATTTTTAGCCATATCACAAGTTTAGCATTCGCTCAACTTGTGTTGTGCACTAAAGAATAAACTACTTGTTTCCATATATTAAATTTGCTTCCATATGCTTATGTTGAGCAATTAAACAATTGGGAAGTCTTGGTGATTTTATATTATCTAATAGAAATGGTCAACTTTGCAGAATTATAAATTGTTTTTTGATCGATGAACTTTTCTTAGTGAACCATGTTCCCTAGTTTTAAGATAATTAACACAAACATTTAATTGTCTTCATTGAATACAGCCTAAGACACATTTTGTGATCAGGAACAATTTTGTTTTTCTTTCATTCCCATTTTCTGGACATCAAGTTCATTGAGAAGTTGATAATCTTTTTCTGATAAAGAATTATGCAAACATCGGCATGATTATTGGTCTGTATGAACAAATGTGATGAGTCTTATCTTATAAAATAGTTCTTCATTGTTTGCCTATGATCAACTAAACCATCTTGCATGTGTAGGAGCTTTATCATGAGTTACATGCTCTAGATAGATATGAACAGGATTACCGAAGGAAGCTTCAAGAAGAAGAGTTGATACCTGCAGCTAGACAGGGTAAGCTAGTAAGCTTTTTTTAAGATTCAAATGGTAAACTGACTGGAGATTTATTCCTTGTGCATGTTTTGACTTTGACTGCATATTGGAAGTATTGCTTGATGTTAAGAAAACATAAATAGTTTCTGAGGTTTGGATATTAAGCTACGCCATATTCCATACAGTACACAATTATATTTCCTTTTCTAAGTAACAAATAAAACAACTTATTTTAGAATCTTTAGATTGAATTTATATTTTCCTACTTGATAGGTTAGTCTCTTAGAGAGGCTTCCGTAGACTAAATACAAAGGCAGGTTTTCTTTCAGTTCTATGTTATGGTCCCATGCATCTCTAGTCTTTATGGACTCTGCCATTTTTAGACCATTTGGTTTATTCCTAGTCTGGTTCTCGTTGACAAGGTTATTAATTATCTGATTCAACTTTGAATTGTTAGCCGTTAATTAAATTTTTTTGTAATATTACTGTGTTTTTTTTTCTTTTTTGGGATTAAATGCATGCTGATGCTTCCATTTTTGTTGAACTAGTAGTATTTTTGCTGATAGTTTGGCAATGTCATTTTATTGGCTTCTACCCACTTTTTACATGAGCAGAGAGTATTTTGAACAGTGAACTGAAACGCCAAAAGAAGCTTGTGAAGAGTTTGAAAAAGAAATCCCTTTGGTCCAGAAACTTGGAGGAGGTAATGGTTTTGTTCTTGGATTCTTATGAACTAACCATTATGACTTCATTTTAAATATGTAAAAAGACCATTGTCCAGATGGTTTAGTTTATATATATATATATATATATATATATATATATATATATATATATATAATATTAAAAAAGTTCTCCAACATATTCATTGTTTTTGCAGGTGGTGGAAAAGCTTGTAGACATTGTTACATTTTTGTATAAGCAGATTTGGGAATCATTTAAAACTTCTGGTATGTTATTGCAAATTTGGTATTGAGTCTATTGACAACGTTTTTGAGAATGATGATGTCTTAACTCTTGATATTAATTTCTTTAATCCTTCTAGGATCAGTTTCATGTCTGGCTACTAGGAACCTCTCTCATGCCCCTATGCTTTTCTTCTTTGCCTTCCCACCTCAAGACCTGCCAGGACCTAGCTGCCTCTGGCTCCTATTCTTTCTTCATCTTCTTCCCTGACCATTGTCACCTCCTCAACTAGTAGAATGGGTTGGTTGCAAGAGAGGGGATCATGTATTGTGAACTGTGATAAGGCTCCCTTGTAAGTTGCAATCAACCATACCAATCATATTCTGAACAAAACCTAATATCTATTAAAATTGCAGAGCTGTGAACCAATCAACATGTGGACCATTAGGGACTACTTATATGGAGCAGTATACAGTGATATTTTAGTTCTCGTCTTGAATTGTGTTTAAACAAAATCTAATGAAGGTGAAAATAAGAGCCTTACAATAAGTAATCATTAATATTCCATTCCAAGTATGCTGTGTTTAAATTCCTGGATAAGATGCATTATAATTTGTTCTTGTTGAGAATGGAAGAAACTTCATTTCCTTTGTGCTTTTTTCATGAGTTATAATTTCTGGATTCTTGTCGTGAGTCTTCAAATTGGTTTAGATAAAAGCATTGCTCCATCATCATATGACAATCAAGAATAGTTTTAATTCTGCGATGTGATCAACTAAATAACAGTATGATTCTTGTCATACTCTTTTTTCAATGTGCTTCATTAATAAACATTCTGTTGATATACTGCTCCATCATCATATGACAATCAAGAACGGTTTGAGTAATTCTGCGATGTGATGAACTAAATAACTTCATTAATAAACGTTCTGTTGGTATTATGTTTTATTTATTCATGATGTTCATTGATTGAAAAGGTACATGTAAGATGACACCTAGCTGTTGTGATTATTTTTTTGTTAATATATTTGTCCAAATCTTTTCCTTGGAATAATCGTGACAAGTTATATGTATATATTTCTTAGCATCACCTTAAAAGGGTGCTAAAAAGATACAGAATGATCTGTGGATGTAGAAAAAGGGTCTGTACTCTATTAGTCTTATGCTGAAGTTGATTATCTTGATCCTCGCCATACTTTTTTTTAAGCCATTTGGAAAGTATGTTGTTGAGATCTTTGTAACTGTAATATTAAACCTGTTTGAGCAAATTGCAGGTTGCAACTTACTCGACTATAAGCCAGCTCAGAATCAAACCTTAGGTGCTTCTGGTCTCGCGTTGCATTATGCTAACATCATCAACCAGATTGATAATATAGTAAGTATACCTGGGATACAATATGTTTTCTATCACTGATAGTGCTTCCTGCTCGTTTTAAGCAGATGCGAAGTAATATCCGTTGCTTCTCATATCAAAGTATGTATCTCAGTTATATGTCCTGGCATATGGAGCTGAGAGATCCAGCTACATGCCAAGCAATTAGTACTTGGTGAACTATGGTTAAGAAATGGTGTTTCTCATGCTTTATGGAGTTTTTCTTAAAATATTTTGTTCATAGGTATCTCGACCACTATCCCTTCCTCCGACTACGAGGGACAGTTTATATCAAGGATTGCCTACACGCGTGAAGGCAGCACTTCGTACCCGATTACAATCATTTGATGCCAAGGAAGAGGTATGTTGTACTTCCTTCAGTTTATACTATAGTGCTAAGCCTCTATTTCCCTATTAGGTTTTTTTCTCTGTGACATTTCAATATTTCTTTTGTGAACCTTCCCTAGACCAGCACATTTATATTAACAAAACACTTGCTTGATTTACATATTTTAGAATATCATTATAAAGTTGAACACAAATAAATTTTACATATCTGTAAGATGCTGCACCTGTGTGATCGGACTTGAAACTCTACCACACCTCTTCTAGTTTGATGGAAGATATGTTTCCAACAACAATCTTACACTGTTGGAAAGCTGCAGTGATCTTTGCCACTCATGCGTTATGGAGCAAAAATACTTGTATCGAAATTCAGCAGCATTTTGTGTTCCCATATGTAAAGATGGGCAACTTCATCAAATTTCTATACAAAATATGCCAAGAGATCATTCACGATGTGCAAGTGAGTTTTGCTTTAGTAGCTGAGTTTCCTAGGTGCATATATTAAAAGGTCTGGTAAAGATCCATTGCCTAATACATAAAATGATCTGATTGAGGTTGCTGAATCAAGTTAACCAATTTTTGTATAATGAATTTCCAAAAGATCTTGACAAGTTAAACTGAGCTGTACATTTATTAGATCACATTCTTGTATTTAAGTGTCTAAAAAATAATATATCAGAAGCTTTAGCAAATCCAGAAATTAAAAGATCATCTTAGTATAGTCATTTAGTTCTCATTGTATGATAAATTTATGATTGTAGTCTCCTAAATGTACTATCAGATCTCTTTGTACATTTGGATAGGTAGCTACTGGTGAAACTCTTGTGGTGTGTATTCTTTAAACTCTAATTGTTAAAACTTGTAATGATAACTGCTATTTCTGAATTTGCATTTCTGCAGTATACAGTTGCTCAGATAAAAGCTGAGATGCAGAAAATCTTATGTTGGATCACTCCACTAGCAGAAAACACAACTAGGTTGGTATCTAAAATGCCTTCATTAACTATTTACATTTACTAAATAGTTTCCCCCCCTTCTCTCTCATACTTTCATCTATGCTACATATGTTTTGTTTCAAGGCTAGAATTGCTATTGCAGTTTCTTAATTCTTTTTATTCTCATCTGATCTAATCAGAGCACATCAAGGTTTTGGATGGGTAGGAGAGTGGGCAACCATGGGGTTAGTTCTGGACTCATTCTTCCATTTCCTTTAGTCTTTATTCTAGTTTTGAATTAACTTAGCATGTGAAAATGACAGCAGAATCTCCTTGTTACGTATGTGATTGCATCTAAGCAGTGTGTTCTTCTGCAGTACTGAGATTAACAAGAAACCAGACATGCAAAACTGCATTGCCCGTATCCAGACGCTTCATCACGCAAATAAAGAGAAAACTGAGGAGTACATATTAGAACTAGTGGTATGGCTTCACCATCTAGTTATCCAGGTGAAGAACAGGGGTTATGGATTAACATCAGCCAGCCCAGTTCAAAGTCAACCAAATAAGGGAACAGTGGTGATCTCAGAGTCCATACGAGAACCATCTCAGGCATGCAATGGTAGAATTGAAGGTGCCCTACTCTCAGAAGACGAAAGAAATATGTTGGAGCAAGTAACCCTGAGGAAGATTACATTAGGGAGAAGCAAAAGCTTGGACTTGGAGAAGAGAGCCAGGAGACATAGGGGTCGGAATAGGAGCTGTGAGAATTCTCCAGACAAAGAGTTCAATGTGGCATTAGATTGGAAGCTGGAGAGGTCAAGAGTGTTGGATGTGATGGATGGGCTCAACACGCTCGGTGCGCTTCCAGTAGTTCAGTTTTGTACATAAGCTCATGTGTTCATGAGCACTAAGCCTTTTCTTTCTCTCATGTAAATGCCTTGGAAGGGATTCCATGATTTATCTCATCCTGTATAGTTATTTGATCTGAAGTATTACATATGGATTAAAAGAAAGCAGCAATGAGAATAGCTGCTGATTACTATATTTGCCTTGACAATTTCAGAATTGATAGGTTTCCGAGGGGCAGATTGAACAGGTAAATAGATCTGACTTTGAAGGACATAATGCATGAGAATAAGACGAATAATTCTTGAAAAATGATATCTGAATTATGTATTAGATCTATTTACAAAAGATTAATGGTTCAAAATTTGATCTGATATATATATTTTTTGAAGATGTGAGATGGTTTCACCGGTAAGAATGGTGTCATGCCACTATAATTTGTTTGTCTTTTTTATATTGGATTTTGTATGGATTATGGACTATCTGAAGTTAAAAAGGACACAAATAAAACAATTTCAATTAAAAAAGAATTTTTTTTAATACTCTGTGTGTCATTATATTTATTTTTCGGAGAGAAGATATACAATATAATTTGGATAAATCATTTTGACCATTTTATTATAGAGTTTGGTATGGGAAAAAGTCAGCTTTTTAGGTTAGAGATGACAAAGTAATGCTGTAAGCATCTCTCTTCACCCATCGCTTTACTAAGCATCCCATATTAAAGCGATGGGTGAAAAGAGATGCTTGCAGCATTACTTTGTCGATTATTCCACACCCACAATTGCATGTTTTCCATCACAACTGGATCGAATCCCGCCCTCCACCTTGAGAACTGGATTCTCGTTCTAGAGAGGAGAAACATTCCAGTGTTTATGAGGATAGTAATTACGATAAGACTCGGCTGACGTCAGCCGACGCCTCACGCCTCGATCGACTGACTGTACTCGGTCAACCGAACCGGAACACCGACCGAGGGCATTAACGCCTACTCAGGCACGGTTCTTCACGCCACGCCAGCACCCATGTCAGACGCTATCAGCCTGCCTCCTGCAGACGGGCACATCAAACAACAGTAAGCTTCTCTATAAATACCCTCTCGTTCATCAGAAAGGGGGGGGACACATATACAAACAGGGGTTGGGTCGAGCCTCCCGACCCGACCTTTGTGCAGGTGCGAAGCCGAGGGTCCCCGCCGGCCGCGCGGACGACGAGCCCCTGCCCAGAGGAGACGACGACCCCGTCCCGATCGGACCCGAACCAAGCCGCGTCGGCCCCGAGGCCACGGCTCTCAAAGTTGTTTACACTAACCGAAGTCATGGATTCCCAGTCACTCTCTGACATAATCCATGCTAATGCATTGTTTCTACTCGTATCATCCGATGCAGATAGATACAGTAAAGAGTGTAGAACAAGAACGAAGGCATACCTCAGTCTGCTGCTTTGTTCTCTCTTGTCATCCGCGTCGGATGCTGATGCGTTGTTCCACTTCACCTGGTATATGTCTCCCCTCGCCTTCTGTCGTACGATCCAGTTTCGAGAGAGACAGAAGCAGAATGATGAGGTGCCTCGGCCTGCTGCTTGTCCTTAGCCCTCTGTTCTTAGCTGATTCAGATGGTGATGGCGATCACGGTGCTCTAGTGAAGCTGAAGGCCGCTTTGGTGGGACCCGGCGGCTCTGGGCTTGGCGACTGGGCCGCCGCGTCCCCTGACCACTGCTCCTTTTCCGGCGTCACCTGCGACGAGGACTCCCACGTAGTCGCCCTTAACGTCTCCTTCGTCCACCTCAACGGCAGTCTCCCGCCCGAGATCGGCCTCCTCCGCCACCTTGTCAACCTCACAGTCTCCTGCGCCGGCCTCGGCGGCTCCCTCCCCGTCGAGCTGGCCGCCCTCCCTTCACTCCGCTTGCTCAACATCTCCAACAGCCACTTCTCTGGCGAGTTCCCCAAGGTAGAACCAGGAGGGTTCCCGGCGCTGGATGTCATCGACGCCTACAACAACAACATCTCCGGCCCGCTCCCGTTGGGCTTGGCGGCCGCCCCGCTGCTCCGGTACCTCCACCTCGGTGGAAACTTCTTCTCCGGGGTGATTCCGGAGGCGTACTCTGACATCCCAAACCTCGAATACCTCGGCCTCAACGGCAACTCCCTCACCGGGCGCGTCCCGCCCAGCCTCAGTCGGCTCTCCAAGCTCAAGGAGATGTACATCGGGTACTACAACAAGTACGAAGGCGGGATACCCTGGGAGTTTGGGAGGCTGTCGTCGTTGGTTCGACTCGACATGGCTGGATGCCGCCTCTCCGGCACATTACCCGCGAGTCTCGGCCAGTTGAAGCGTCTCGACAGCTTATTTCTCCAGATCAACCGGCTCAATGGCTCTATACCGCCAGAACTCGGCGGACTCAGCCAGTTGGAGTTCCTCGACTTCTCCATCAACGAGTTGACGGGCGAGATACCGGAGAGCTTCGCGGAGCTGAAGGAGCTCAAGCTATTGAACCTTTTCATGAACCATCTCCGAGGTATCATTCCACCGTTCATCGGGGAGCTACCGAGTCTCGTGGAACTCAAGTTATTTCAGAACAACTTCAGCAGCGAGCTCCCTGAATCTCTCGGCATGAACGGCCGGCTGGTGACGCTGGACGTGGCGTCGAATCGGATAACCGGGACGATTCCGCGCGATCTCTGCGCCGGCGGAAGGCTCGAGATGTTGGTTCTGATGGACAACGGCCTCGTCGGGCCGATTCCCGAGAAGCTCGGCGGCTGCAAGTCGCTGACTCGGGTCCGACTCGGTAAGAATTCCTTGAACGGGTCGATCCCCGCCGGGCTCTTCGATCTGCCCTCCAACGACATGCTCGAGCTCAACGACAACAACCTCTCCGGTGAATTGCCGACGGTGATCGCGGGAGACAAACTCCGCTTGCTCATCCTCTCCAACAACTCGATAACCGGCTCAATCCCGCCGGCGATTAGCAACCTTTCCGCGCTCGAAAGACTTGAACTCAACATTAACAGGATGTTCGGCGAGATCCCACCGGAGATCGGTCGTCTCAAGGCACTGGCCATGATCAACTTGAGTGGGAACGAGCTGACCGGCGAGTTCCCCATCGATCTTGCCCACTGCGCATCGCTCGTCTCGTTAGATCTCAGTCGGAACAGGTTGACGGGTGAGATACCGGTGCAGATCACGGCACTGCCGATCCTGAACACGCTCAAACTTTCATCAAACAGGTTCTGGGGTGAGATCCCGCCGGAGATACTGAAGATGCCGAGCCTCACCACGCTCGACCTCTCCAACAACTGCCGGCCCAACCTATTGTCGTCGGAGACGAGCCTCATGAAGCTCGACTTCTCTGTGAGCTGTACCGCCGGTGCGACGCCACGCGGGGCCCGGCGGACGGGCGGCCGCAGCAGACTCGCCTTGCTTACATCTCTTTTCCCTCTATTGCTCTTTAATTGCTAATTTAACTCTGCTTTGCGAGAGCGAGCCACTAATTTATTATATATATATATATGTATATGTATATATATGTATATACATACATATACATATACATACATATATATATATATGTATATATATACATATGTATATGTATATATACATATGTATATGTATATATATATAATATATATACATATATATACATATATACATATGTATATATATATATGTGTATATATATATATATATATATATATACACACATATATATATATATATATCCTCAGCGGTTTCCCATCTCTCTACGACCGCGTCAACCGCACCATTTCGCGGCTCCCGCTTCCTCCCTTCTCCAACTCTTCCTCTCGCACAACTCAATCAAACCCAAACCTGCATTCTCTCTCTCTCCCCCTCTCTCTCTCTCTCATAAGAGAAAATGAAAAGTTGAAGAGGGAAAAACAGGAAACAAAGGCAAAAAGAAGAGATCATTTTAATAGTGGATATACTCTGTATTTAGGGTTTGTCGGAATCGCTCTCTGTCTTTTGACGGAGGTACGCAAAGGCTCGCCGGTTGTTCTCGGCGTAAGGCCTTCGGCCGACGTGGAGCGTCGGAGGCTGAAGGGCGAGGGGGTCGGTGGAGGAGATGAGCGCGTCAAGGTTTATAAAGTGCGTCACGGTGGGCGACGGGGCCGTCGGCAAGACCTGCATGCTTATTTCCTACACCAGCAATACTTTCCCCACGGTAGGTGATGACAAACACGCACACACACAGAAAGGCAAAACGAATTTATGGTTTTCCTCTATAATTAGGAAAGAGGAGGGGGCTTTGTTTCGTTTTTGGTTTGATTTTCGGGAAATAGGCACAGGGAAAGGAGCGGAATTGGGAAATCTTTTCTTTTTGAGGTTGTTCAAGGGAATGTAGATGGAAAAACGCTTCCTTTTCTGCCCACTTGTTGTTTTCATGGTTTGTTTGGTTGATCTGAGGCAATGTTGGCTTTCATTTTGTATTTAGTTGGCTAATGGCACCAAATGTCTGACTAAAAAGAAAAACGAAAAGGAAACTTTTGATTTTACTTTTATTTTAGATTTTGAGGAAGGATTATAGGAATGTGGTTTTTAACTTAAGAAGTCTCCCTTACTTTCATCTCATTTTGTTAAAAATGGTGGAATACAGATATAGAAAAGTATATTCTAACTAAAATATCTAATTAGGTTCCTTGATTTTATTTTGTTGCAAGTATGTAAAGAACTTAATGAGTAATGCATTAAATTTATTTTAACTGAGTGTAGCAAATATTGGAATGAAATATTCTTTGTTTCTTCAGTAGCAGGAATTTTGTATAAGCCTGCTGCACAGAGTTCAAATCTTTTCTCCTTTTCATTCAAATGAATGAAATGCAATGTGACGGGGCTAGATCAAATAAAAGATTGCTTACCTTTCCTGAATCTTATTTTCTGACAAGTATCTTATGTTTGATTCAAGATACATATACACATACAGTGAGTATATACAAACATAGACCTGCACATTAATGTAATCCACTTTCCATCCGTATCATCTTCATCATTGCCAAATTCTTTGAATCCAAAATGATCCAAATCAATATCATGACATGCTTCATTTTTTAGCCACTAGACTTTATCCCTCTTCTCCCAAGATTTCGGAAATCGAAATTTTAGCCACATCGAGCATTTCTCAATTTCTGAGAAGTAGGATCTCTTCTGAAGGAATATTATTCATTTTGGAGTCCCATTAGTTGTCTCCTTTGGAAGACATGGCTTCCGTTTAACTTGGTCAATTTTGGATTTTATATGATTCCGATTAATGAATAACTTCAGTGGCCATCTTGTGCAAACATATAAATTTTTTCCCCTTGCATGCAGGATTATGTTCCAACTGTTTTTGACAATTTCAGTGCAAATGTTGTGGTTGATGGTAGCACAGTTAACTTAGGCTTGTGGGATACTGCAGGTATCTCAACCTTTTCTTTCTTCCAGCCTCATCATCTATTCTGCTACATTTATTTTGTTGCATTGGCTGTTTCCTCTAGTCTAAAGTTTTGGTGGATCCGACCTAATATTGGGTTTTAGTGGAACAGGCCAGGAAGATTACAATAGATTAAGACCATTGAGCTACCGAGGTGCAGATGTTTTTCTGCTCGCATTCTCTCTTATAAGTAAAGCTAGCTATGAGAATGTGACCAAGAAGGTGAGAAATCAATATTAGTTCTTTTTTTGTTTGAATCTTTGTTAATATCATGCCAAATTTTATTCATTCTTTTGCTTTTCCTCATCTATTTTATTTTTCTATTTAACTCATCAGTGGATTCCTGAACTAAAGCATTATGCGCCTGGTGTGCCTCAAATTCTTGTTGGAACAAAGCTCGGTAATACTCTTCCCCAATGTATTAATTTGTTTGTGATTTTTATATTGCATAACCATATTATTTTCTCATGTATGTTCATCTAGTCAATATATGGTGTTATTTGTGTAGATTGGAAATTCAAAATGTTTCTAGTTGTGAGTTCATTTGTCAAAACAAAATGGGATATTAGTCCTGAAAAATAGAATAATAGTTTATCATATTAATATGGGAAAGTTTTTGCTGCTGTGGCGCTGCCTTTCATTACTGATAGGAAAAATAACAGTGCTGCCAACTCACCCTGCCACTTGGGCTAAAGAAGCCACCTAAGCAAAGGCATGAGCAACTCACGGAAATGGTCCACCAGCCTCCACCTGTCTTGACCCACGGAAAAAGGCCAATGAAGCATGAGAGGGAAAGCAATGGCATAGCCATTCCAGTGCTAGACCGGCCATTCGTGGGCCATCACTTGGAATCGACACGCACACAAGAGCTCGCATCGTCGCCTCACGCGGTCACCCAACCGGAACATGATCCTCGAAGAAGTCGCACAAGTCAACCATCGGTACACAGTGACCAAACTCGTCCTCTAAACTTCCCCTCGATTGCGTCGTTGGTCGCAAGCGATCCGTCACTCATGGCCATAATTTCGGAAGAGGTCGCATCAATGACGTGGCCCGACTCTTCGGGCACTTGACGCCAATCCCCATCTCCTATACGTTTCAGGCATGACCCTACCCTAACAAACGACATGCCTCCAACTATCCTTCCCGAACATAATCAATGGGAACACGTGTTCACTAGCCGTCAACATAAATGAACCCTTAATGGTATGAGAAGCTGAAAGGGGGACAAACAACTGGTCACCCTCCATCGATAAATCAGGTAAAAAAGCCAGCCCCCGAAACTAGACGAGGGGGGACTCAACCTAAACTCTCCTGAGCTCTGCTAAATCTTCTCCACTTTTTCTACTGACTTAAGCGTCGGAGGGGTCGGGTCGGGAAATCTCTTAACGTTGACCAATTATGTAGAGGTCCCGACGTGTCTAAGGAGCACCCCGGGGTGGCGTGGAGCATCACTAGACAAGGTCAAGGCGCACCTCGAGATGACTCTAAACTTCATTTAGTAAGCGAACCGCATCTCGAAATAACCGTGGATTGGTCGCCGCGAGCCAGTAAAGCCTCATGAGTCCACTTGTCACCCAAGCGATCCGTTTGGGCTACTGGGATAGGTCCGCGCTTTCGGGACTAAACCAGGCCGTGTTGACTCTATGGTCAATGACACTCAGGAACCAACAATTACCATGTCTTTGTCATGCCCAATCGCCACCACCATATCTCCTATTCCATAATTGGCCCTCAACCCTTGAATCACTAATCTACTTCTTTGTTAATCTCTATATGCCAGATATTTTCAAACTAACAAAAATAGATACAATAGTAACTTCATGCTCAAGAATCCAAACCATAATGCTTTGAACATGAAAATTTTGGTTAACATTGAGGGTTTGATACTAGATTTGTTTCATGGTACATGATAGGCGTTTTTAATTCTTCATCCTGGTGTTTTAGTTATTTAAGCTAATTTTTAAATGATATTATAGTGTCTTGCTAAGTCATAAGCTACACAGTTGATTGAACTGAGAATAGGTCTAAAAACTCTGATCAAATACTTTTCTTTCATTGTTTAGGTTCATGTTGACTTCTTGTTTCCATTGAATGGATTCCAAATTAGGATTATTGTGGATGAATTATTATATAGGTAGATATAAAGCTGAACAGAGCTAAAGTTCGACCTACAATCTGTAAATTATTCCAGGCTTCATCTGAATCTCTCATTCCAACATAAACAATGTGGTGGTTTTGACCTTAAAACTATTTGGGGTCTTTTGGTTGATTAATTGGAAAAACCAAAAGTCAACCCTTAATTTCATGTTTCTTCAACTGTCAATTACATCTCCAACTTAGTCAAAACCAATTAGTCATAGCTATTAATATTTCAAGAAAAAATGGAATTAATGCTCTAGTTAAGCCCAAAACCAAGCCTTATTATGATAGGATAACCCTGATTAATCCTCTAAAGTGAAATTTATACAGGTATATTATGGATTTAGAAATTGGATTCCTAATTTTGATTATCTGAATTTGGTAGTACACATGCAAAATGAGCAGAATTGAATAGGATATTAAAACTGGTAAATGGAAGGAAATTGGATTCTGGGATAACTTCATGTGAGTTTGAAGATTTAATCACAAGGTGAAGTTTGAAGGATTAAACTGGTTACCAGGATGTGCTTGGGGGTCCATGGTTCAGAGATTAGAATACTAGACCTTTTATGCTATATCTAATGGAAGATGCAGAAAGAACAATTCTAATCTGAACTTGCATGACAAATATTGAATGATCATGCTGAAATTGAGAAAGCCTTTGGAGAACTCCATCTCGAACTGTTTTCTCCTCATGACAACTGGGTTTTGTGAGAACTGGGACGATATCATTCTTGTGATTCTTGATATTCTTTTGAGGTTAGAAAGCAGTTTCTCACTTATGGAGTTCAAAGAAGCTGTTCCTGATTTGGGCCCTAAGCCTGATGGATTTTGCATGTTGAGTTAGAACAGCTTCATAACTTGGAATTGAGGATCATTAGTAATCAACATGGAAGCTTTTTGAGATATTTCTTTGTTAAGAGATTTCACAAGTTTCTTAGCCTGCATGGATGGCAGTTGAAATTTGAAAAATCATTTTGGACACAAACTGTGCTCTTTTTTTTCCTTCAATGGTTGAAGAACAGTATGCAATTACATACAGCTAAGCTGCTTGATTGCAAAGGCTGATTAGCATAGTAACTGTGCTCTTTTTTTCCTTCAATGGTCGAAGAACAGTATACACCTTTTGCGTTGATGTCATCAAGTTTAGAGGTTAATTATGTTTGCAGTTAGGAACTCCAGGACTCCTTGTACATTTCTTAGCTGTTGGAAGGCTCAGCAGGAAGCTAACATTCCTAGAAAACATTTGATTTTTTGTGGCTTTGTCATGATGGTGTGTGGAATGCTATGAAGGACCAGGAGTAAGGGAGCACTCCAAAACAGATCTACCGGGACTTTTGAAGTGTTGCATGCTAGTTTAGTTCAGGACTCACAAAACGCTAGCTTTTAAGGGCTTTCTGATTGCATCAGGACTAAAATTTTCAGAACTTTTCACCATGTTTTACTTTGAAAACCATTCTGGTGTGTGTTAATTTTCCGATATTGAGTCTTCGCATAGAGAGCCATTTCTAGCCTGGTGTACTTCCTAGTACTTGCGTGATTGGTTCTTTACATTTGTACTTGCTCCAACTAAATATACATGGAATTGTTTGCAGATCTTCGAGATGATCAGCAGTTTTTCATAGATCACCCAGGTGCTGTTCCCATTACCACTGCTCAGGTACTCTCTCTTTCTCTGTCTCTATTTGTTGGTCATCATGCGCAAAAGTAGCTTATGATGATTCTTGCTTTGTTCTTTTTCTTATTATACAAGGGTGAAGAGCTGAGGAAGCTTATTGACGCTCCGTCATATGTTGAGTGCAGTTCAAAGACCCAACAAGTAAGTTATTTCCACTGCTCTCATCTTTGGAGTCATTGCTGTGTAATTGCTAGCTATCTATGTTGATATAAAATATGATGTGCAGAATATCAAGGCAGTATTTGATGCAGCCATCAAGGCAGCACTTCAACCATCCATGCAGAAGAAAAAGAAGAATAAGGCACACAAGGGATGCTCCATCTTGTGATCATTGAACCGATGAACAGAAACGTGCCGCTGGTATTCAATCTCGATCTTCTTAAGGTTGTTTTCTGCTTCGTGTATACCGGGAGAGGTGACAAAATACGGAACCATCTCGCGATGATCGCTTTCTTTTCTGATTATGTGTTCGACTGGTTAGAGCATGTATCTTCAGATAACGATATAACGTTGTGTCGGAAATTGTTGAAATCAGTTTTCCTTGCACAAAACCATTATTCTCCTTATATCCAATTGCTTAATTAGATCTCTGTAAATCTCCATGTTTTTGGTGTGGACGTTCTCTGGTTGGTGTTTTCATTTACATGTTTCTAATTATGATGTGTAGCAGTCTGTGTCAATCATGTTGTGAGCTAATTAGCTACCGCAATTTCCTGTAGCAGTCTGTATTCTTTCACAAGGCGTACCCAAAAAGCATTCAGAGTTAATAGGATTGAGTTCTTCTTTTTCTTCGATAAACTGCAGGGAATAAAATTGAAGATAGATGGTTACGAGTGTCGAATAGAGACGAAGGCCAACACGGCAAGCATCCCTCGAGGTTGAAATGTGGCCATTGGAAAGCCAAAGAGAAAGAGATCCCCTCGTTCCTTTCCCGTCCCAATACAGCTGTTTCTTCTCGGCGATGCTTAGTGCCTACTTTCTGCTCTCAATGCTTTCAAGCATCCGATTCGTAGAGCCCACCTTCAACACTACCACAAACAGCATCACCAACACCAGGGACTACTTTGGCTATATAACTCCTCCCCCGTCGTCAGCGCTACTCAACGCCGTTCCGAACTCCAAGGTTCTTCTTCTTCTTCTTTCTTCCTCGGCATGATCAATGGCGTCGAGGAGGATAATTAAGGAGTTGAAGGACCTGCAGAGAGACCCACCAACTTCGTGCAGTGCAGGTGCACACGTCAGGCTCAGCTACTCCTCCTTCCTGTTAACTAACACAGCTTCTAGTGCCATGATCATTGTGTTGTTGCTTTTGGGTTTTTTGCTCAGGACCTGTGGCTGATGACATGTTCCACTGGCAAGCCACCATCATGGGGCCTAACGACAGCCCATATGCTGGCGGCGTCTTCCTTGTCAACATCCACTTCCCACCAGACTATCCCTTCAAACCTCCCAAGGTAATTACTCTCGCCGTTGTTTCAGTACTAACTCGATCCAAGTCCAACTCTCCTTTATGAGCATGATGTGTTGCGAGTAGGTAGCATTCAGGACCAAGGTCTTCCATCCCAACATCAACAACAACGGCAACATCTGCTTGGACATACTCAAAGATCAATGGAGTCCAGCCTTGACCATATCCAAGGTAAGGTGATTCACACGTACGTCTCTGCAGTCTACTTCTCCTCCTCCTCCTCCTCCTTGATGAACGCTGCGTGCAGGTGCTGCTGTCCATATGCTCCTTGCTCACGGATCCAAACCCCGATGATCCGCTGGTGCCTGAGATCGCTCATCTGTGCAAGAACGATCGTATGAGATATGAGTCCACTGCTCGGAGCTGGACGCTGAAGTATGCCATGGGTTAAGCACAGCAAGGAGAATTGGATCCAGAGATTGCTCAGCGTTAGCTGATAGATACAGCAGCACCTGCAAGAGAAGTACAAGGATAAGACTGATCTTATTGTTATGTCGACAGCGTCTTTGATTGAGTTAACCGTGTTGTTTATGGAGTCCTTTTCCTTTTTTTCCTTTGTCTTTTCTATTTTTATCGTCATATTATATGCAGTAGAATGAATTCAAGACTTATTTCTACGTGAACTTACTGAGACTTAATTGTCTCTCAGTACTCGAAAAACGAGTTAGACATGTCAGAAAAATTTATCGTCGATCTCTGAGTCAACTTAACATGGTCCGAGATCGAGGGTGCAAGAGCATTCAACGTGACTCTAAGATAGTTCTTGAGTGTCTCTGAGGTGGTTCTTGAGTGGCTCTGATGTGATCAGAGTTAGTTCCTAAGTAGCTCTGATGCGAGGGTCGAGCTTCCTAAGCGCCACATGTACTAAGATCGATGTCGGTAGATGCTTTCTAATTCGATCCCTCTAACGTTCAGGGTATCCATTTTTTTTTGGGAAAGAGAGCTCCCGACATAACGACGAGGGTTAGCTTTTATATTTGGACAAGGGAGGAGACAAGCCTGCAACTGCCCCAACTTCCTCCTTTGATGTTTTGTCATATGGGCGATAGGGAGGAGACAAGCCTAAACGATCACCCGAATAATCTCTCTTAAACTATTGTCCATGGGGGCAAGCAGGTAGAAGTGACGGGGATCCTTTCCTTCCACGCTAGTCTCCATGTGATGACAGATGTCGGATAGTGATTGGCCATAAAAATGTTCTCTATAATTTGTTCTTCTTGAGTCATCTTTTGGGGCTCATGTTAGAGGGGTTCGGAGTATGATGGTCAATTCATTTGGCAAGCCTATCGTCAACTTATTTCTTCGTCACACGATGGAGATGCCAATAAGTGTGGGTTGGGTTTTTAGACTTGTGTCTTGAGTACCTTTGGCCTTACGTCTTCGCTATAGCAGATTTATCTTGGTGTGGGTCAGATTTTCTAGCTCACACACTTCGGGCACCTTGAGCCCTACGTCTACGCTATAGTGGATTTATCTTGGTGCATGTTAAATTTCTCGACTCACACGCCTTGGGCATGTTTGGCCTTGCACCTCCATCGTAGAGGATTTACCTTGGCATTGGTTGGATTTTTTGATTCACACACCTCGAGCATGTTGAGCACTAGATCTCTACCATAGCGGAGTTATCTTGATGCAAGCCAAGTTTCTCGTTTAACATGCCTCAAGCACATTTGGCCCTACGCCTCTACCATAACATATTTATTTTGATGTGGGTCAGGTTTCTCGACTCACATGCCTCAAACATGTTTGGCCTTATGTCTTCATCATAATGAATTTATTTTGACATAGGTCAGGTTTCTCGACTCACATGCTTCGGGCACGTTTGGCCCCACACCTTTATCATAGTGAATTTATCTTGATGTAGGTTAAGTTTTTTGACTCATATGCCTCGGGGGCATGTTTGGCCCTATGCCTCCGCCATAATGGATTTATCTTAACATGGGTCGAGTTTCTTGACTCACATGTCTTGGGCACGTTTGGCTTTATGCCTCTGTCGTAGTGGACTTATCTTGATGTGGGTCAAGTTTCCAACTCACATGCCTCGGGCACGTTTGGTCTTATGCCTTCACCATAGCTAGTTTTATCTTGGTGCAGATCAAGTTTCCTAACACATGCTTCGGGCATGTTTTGGCCCTTCACCTCCGTCGTAGTGGATTTATCTTAATACGGGTCGGGTTTCCTGGCTCACATGCCTTATATATATTTGGCCTTGCACTTCCACCTTAGCGGATTTATCTTAACATAAGTCAGATCTCCCAACTTATACATCTTGGGCATGTTTGACCCTATGACTCTACTATAGCAGTTTTATCTTCTTTCCGTCATAATAGATTTTTAAATCTTTCTACCACTGCAAGCCTCCAGTTCTCATTCCATTGTGGCAGGTTTCGAGTTCTCTTTCTATCGTGACAGATCTCAGACCTTCTCACCGTGATAGGCCTCTTTGGATTTGCCCTCGAAGAGACACTTGGTTTGATCGCATGAGGAGAGAGATCGACCTTCTCCTTATAAATCTCCTCTCCCTGTGGGGTGGGATTTATTCTTTCATCTGAGTCTCTAGAGCTAAGAGTCTTTAGAGCCTTGAGAGTTCTCAGTCTCACCCCTAGGACTCCTTAGGAGCATCTCCTCCCTCACCTCAGTTCTCGACAAGGCAAGCGGGTCTTTAAATCCTCCGTCTCGGCATTAGTTCTACTCTTCAATCTTAGGCTCGGGATATCTCTCCCTTCTTGTATAAAATCTTTTCGATCCTTTATCCGTCAACTGATCAAGGTTTATGCTTCATCTTCAAGTAGTCCGAGGGCAAAGAAAGTTGGGTCCTCCTTATCGGAAGGGGCCTCTCCTATGAACTCGATGGTTCTTCAAGATTTTGAGTCTATGAGAAGTTCTCATGACTATGACTCAATAGTAAGTGCATCTCTCTTAGATCACTTGAGAGCTATATATTGTATCTTAGCCGAGTTCAACCCACAAGTTCCTCGGCCTTGTCAACGCTCGTCCGATCCTATCTAAGGGTCCTTTTATTTGTCTTGTGACACTCTCGAGGCAGGCCTTCAACTTCATTTTCACCTAGTGATAGTGTCTTATTTTTAATGACGGAGGATATCATCCTCCCAAATGGCACCCAACTCATGATGCTTCTGATAGAGTTTATCAGGTAATGTCGGTGTGCCGACATTACTCTAGTCTGCACCCTCTTTTTCACCTATTTCCATTTATGCAAGGGAAAAATTGGCTACTATCTAGCCACTCGAAAGTGTTTCAAAGTTAGCAGTGCCCCTTTCAACAATAAAGGCTAAAAGGAGCGCTTCTTTCTCATGAGTTTGAGTTAAGATTAAGGATTCAACCTTACTTCGTCGGTGCACTATATTGATAGCACCCCTTCCTTCCTGTTGGATAAGGAAGCAAATCAAGTGCTTCGATTAAGGGATATTTTTTTTTTCCTTTAAGACAGTCTAAAAGATGGATGAGGAGTAGTTGGTCGATGTAGGTCTCAACCTAGCTCCTTAGGGTATAACCCAAAATTTTTCTTACTTTATTAGACTTTTCTCATCATGTTAAGGGGGATCAGCTCGGGTCTCGAGCAAGGCGACTTGGGTCATTCTTACTTTCCTCGTCGAGGCGATCTTTAGGCCAAAGTCAATGGTGGTTGCTCATGTTACGAACTTTTGCATGTCTCCTCGTACTTGCTTGAGACCATCGCCTTAGGGGCTATGTATTGATTGGCTCTCTGGAAGGCTTTGGGTATAGTCATCGATGACCTCTCTACCAATAACCAGAAAAGGTGAGGGGACTTAAGCCCTATCATGAAAGCTTGAATCATGAGTGATGGATAGGCCTCTTGCACGTTTCGGATCTCATTGGTGAACTAAGCGATGAAGTTAGAGAGTGCCTCTTCCTTCCTTTGCTTGAGCCCAAGCAATTTCATCATCAATTGCCTTGGACATATATTATTGAGGAAGTAGAGTTCAAATTTCCTTATAAGATTAGCGAAGGAGCTAATTGAGAGTGGTTTCACATAAGTGTACCACTCTCATGCTGGGCCCCTTAATGTCATCGAGAACACATGACACATCAAAGTGTCTAAGGTGCCAAAGAGAGACATCTGGGCATGAAAGGTTAGTATGCACAATTGGGTTAGTGCTATTATCAAAGGCTTCTAGTGATAGAAGGTGGAAGTTAGTCGGGATTGATTCTTCTTGAATGATCTAAGCAAATGGGGGAGCAACCCAAGGTAGGATCGAGTGGGTTCTCCCCTTGGACTACTAGAGCTCTCGTTGCATCTCGTCCATACTTGATCCATTTCTTATAGTTGGATTTAGGGAGTCATCCATTGAATCTACCAATTGGGTCTCAGACTCGGGTGAGGTAGGGTGGTGCTATGACAGTGCGCTGAACTCCACCATTGGGGAGCGGGGTGCTCTTTTGGTTATGGGCCCGAAGAACCTCGAGAGATCTTGAAAGGTTGGTACTGTGTTAGTTGAGGGGACTTCGATAGGTGTCGGAGGCAATGGTGGTTAAGGTGTTGATCATAGCTAAGAGGATGGTGCTACTTATTGGGCTAGCTAACGCAAGAGTGGGGGATAGCCTACATCATGCCCATGAGTGTTTGTACCTGATAGGTGAGGTTCAAGAATACTTCAATTGGAATAAACAGGTGGCTTGAATTTGTCCCCAAGGGTGAGAGACCTGGGTCATTGAACATACGTTAGTATCATGTCAGCGTTTGCACTTAAGTAGACGCATCCATGTGAGGGAAGGACAGAGGTTATACCCCTTGAGTAAAAGTGTTATGGATTGGAGGCAATGCCTCCTCGCTGGAGCATTCGTTGAGAGGGTTAATGAGTAGATGTTCTTGTGACATCAAACCCTCCTTCTAGAGCCAAAATATTATGAGAATTTGTTATTGACATTTGAGTCGACCCAACGTGGTCCAAGCCTGAGGGCACAAAAACATCCAATATGACTCTAAAGTAGTTCTTGAGTGGCTCCGGGGTGGGAGCTGAGCTTCTTGAGCATTACTTATATTAAGACCGATGTCGGAAGACGCTTTCTGACCCGATCCTTCCGATGTTCAAGTTAGTCCAAGGTTCTTTTGATATATCAATTTTTTTCTGGAAAAGAAAGTCATTGGCATAGTATCGAGTATAGCTTTTATACGTAGTCAAAAGAGGAGACAAGCCTATAACCATCACAACTTCCTCCTTTGACATTTTGTTTGCATAGGCGATAGAGATGAGACAAGCTTGAACGGTCATCCGAATGAAAGGTGATAGAGACTCTTTCCTTCCGTGCCAATCTCCACGTGACGATAGATGTCATATACTAATTGATCATCAAAATAATTTTATTATATCAGAAATATATTCAAATAATTAGTTATGGTAAAAAAATTAATAATGAATAAAGAGATACTAAAAATATAACAAATATTTAGTCATAATGTTATTAGGAATATTGTGGAAGATTACTAAAATAGTTGGGTCATTGGGCTTCCTGCAAGTCATTGGTTCGGATTAGGAAGAAAAGATGCGTAGTTATCAACTGACGTATCATTTGGTTGTTTATGCGCATTAATGACGACACCCATAAAGCGACGTTGTTATGACAGGAAGGCGACTTCATTTATGAGGGTTTCCTTGTGTGCCCTGCCGCCGCCGCCGACGCTCCCCTATCCACTCCTCTGCTATCAACTCTCTATCTCTCTCACACGATCGATCCGTCCATATCGGTCGGTGAGACCGCCTTCCTTCTCGAGGTGAGACCCCTCGGGTAGACTGACCGCCTGCCTTCTCCTTCGGTCAACTCTTTCATCCTTTATGCACGATTTGCAGCAGCAGCAGCGTGATATTTCTTCATCGTTTCACTCTAATTTTCTTCCAGCCGTTTTTGTTTGTCCGTGGTTGCTTTCCTATCGTTTAAAGCTTTTAGCTTTTGTGGGAGATTCCGATCTCTCCTTATCTGATCCCGTCCAGATCTCCAGTACTTTGTGGGTGAGATATTTGCCTCCTTGTTTTCTGAGAATGTCTCCCATGATGATACAAATGAGTAGCAGAGTGTATGTTTAAGGCCGTGAAAAAGTGCGGATTTTTTTCGGTCTCGTAATATTTTTTCTTTCTGTTATTTTTTCTTATAAAAAATAGGAGGAATAAGAAAGGAGAAATTTGAACACTTGTTTGATCAAAACGTAGAACCAAATGATCAAAAGAAATGGAGATCTCGTTTATCAAAACAATTAGGTGGTGTGGATCGAGAGCGTATTGCTTTGTCCTCTTTTGATTGAAATGTAAAATCGAGTCATAGGAGCGGAATACAAGTTGTGGATGAGATTTCATTAGCTGATAAGGGTGGAGAAGCTACATAAGGCAGTTTATTACAGTGATTTCAGTCTTGGATCTGTACAAAGGTTGGCATTTTGCTTTGAAAATGTTTATGACACATGTTGATGTCTACCGCAATTGTCGGTGCTAAGTTCCTTGCGAAGGACGTGTTGTTTAAAAAATCTGAGGGGCTTTTTGATGGTTCCTAAAAATCTGTCGAGACTTTCAAGACATCTCCAGAACAAAAATAGCCTAGAATCTCATACAAATGACAAGCTTGTTATCTAGGAAGCAATACTCATCTCAAAAGCTACAAATAAATCAACTAAATATAACTAGTGTGTAGTACTAGCGGCTGGGTTTGAAAGACCTTAGTCTTGTCTTTTTGAGGTGGACTCACTTCCAAGCTTTATGCTGTTGTTCAAGTACCATCAGGATGGTAAGATTTAAGATGCATGCCACATGAAACTTCTCGAGCTGGATCTTTTGTGGCTTCGTTGGAGATGAGAAATATTTTGAACGAAGAGGATGTTTGCAAGCCATCATGCTTCTGCATTGTTGCAATATGGTAAGCTTCTGTTGGCAAAAGTTACTGGCAAGCTTCCGGTAGTGTGACACAATGTACCGCTGTGTCATCTCTATATCTCTGCCTGTTACAGATTGACTTTCCTGAAGCTAGCCTGCTCGTAAATCTATAGACCGAAACTGATTTTCCAGGAGCAAGTTAGACAAGATAGTTGGAAGGTTCAGAACAGCATTAAACATGTGATTTTTAAAAGCTAACCTTGGCCTTTTTTCAAAGATCAGGCTCCATGTTATGGACTTTTCTTCTGAAGTTCTAGTATTAGTCTCGTTCTGAAGTTCTATTATTAGTCTCGTGGACGGTGAAGGATGTTATTTTAAAAGGATAATATGCAATCCAAAAGGAAATGGTTTGTTATTCCATGCCTTATGTCTTGTTCCATTCTTTAATCGTTGAAGCAAGTCTTTCATCGTGTATCTTTCCTTTAAGCTGCATGAGTATGGTGGATTCTGAGATGAGATGCTTGTTTCTTTTAGAGTTGGATAATCAAATGGTCTAATGACTGCACCATTAATTGCCAGGAGAAATGCAGGGAGCACTCCGATCATTACGATTGCATGGAAATGTTATTAAAAATGCTATGCTCCAACATATTCGTGTCATGAACCCAGCCACGCTACCTACTGTGTTTTCACGTTTTGAGTCAGTTTCTTCTGCTCGATTGGAAGAGCATGGATTTGAAAGCACCACCATCCGGGATATTATGAAAGCTAAAGGCAAGAGTGCTGATGGTTCCTGGCTGTGGTGCACAACTGATGACAGTGTTTATGATGCTGTGAAGTCGGTATGATTTTTCTTAACCATAATATTTGATTGTTAATTGTTTGGCATGGGATTGTGTTGTGAAACCTGACATATATGGTATTTACAAGCATATGCACATTACTGCTGTTATTCATGTAAATTGCCCTGTTTGCTTTGAGCATTTTCAGATGACACAACACAATGTTGGTGCTTTAGTGGTGGTGAAACCTGGAGAAGACAAGGCAATTGCTGGGATTGTCACTGAGAGAGGTAGTCACTATTCGACACACTATTTTGATAATGGTGAATTGCTACTTGTACAAAAACATATATTCACACGGAACTAATGTGCCTTTTCTTGCATGCGCAAATGTACACACATGCACATGCCTGTGTTCAGGCACAAAAAAGGAGAAGAAAATGTGGTCTAATTTAGTGGCTGGTGGAAGATCTACTTCTCTAGAGAAATAAGCTGAGAGCCTTATGCAGACCTAAAAGTTCTGTGGTGGAGTACCACTAGAATCTAGTGGCAGTTTCGCCAAAGGCAAACTTGTTTTTGGACACTCAAGTGGAGGCACACAAGTGTACCACCAGAGCCATTGGGTTGTGTGTCACTCAATTAGAGACTCACAAGGCTAGATGACAAGAATTTTTTTTGAAAAAGATGAATGAAAAATTAGAGAACCGTTTCTAATGATTTGTTCTGGCAAATACAATTATCATTCTGCTATTCACAGTAATTGTTCCTCAATCATCTTCATGTGGATGTGCAATTTTGGACATTCACTAAGGATGAAGATTTTCATTTTTCAGATTATCTCCGGAAGATCATTGTCCAGGGCAGATCGTCCAAATCAACTAAAGTTGGAGACATCATGACTGAGGAGGTAACTTCGAGCTGCTATTGTTGCAATATGCTGCTTGTTTAAAATAAGATTGTCCATTTCCTTTGCCCCGGTATTCAAAATTATGCTATACTGATCTGAATAATTCATATAAGGAGCAGAATTTGCAGCAAATAATAATCTCTATGGTGGAGTTGTACAAACGCTGCTCTCCTTAAAATCAACAAATAGTGAAGTACTTCTTTCACTTGCATTTCTTTTTCCTGTCGTGCTAAAACTTCATTGGCCTCTTGTGACCAGAACAAATTGATCACTGTGACACCAGATACCAAAGTTCTGCGGGCAATGCAACTTATGACAGGTTTGCTGTGTTCTACATACCATTAGTTGCATGTAAGTAGTGGCTATACAAAGTGACATCAATGTGTTGTGGTCTTCTTTGTTGATAGATAACCGCATCCGGCACATCCCTGTGATTGACAACAACGGTATGATCGGCATGGTCTCCATCGGTGATGTTGTTCGAGCCGTGGTGAGCGAGCATCGTGAGGAGCTGAACCGCCTCAACGCATATATCCAAGGGGGTTATTAGAAGTCTTTTCTAGGATCTAATAATGCTCAATGATGATGGCGAAGAAGATGGTTTTGAGCAGTAGGCATCGGGACCTTATGCTACTTGTTAAGCATGTGTGTACATATATGTCGTGCTTTGCTTGCGCCGTTTGTTGGTCTTTGCTAACTGGATAAACCTTCTTATCCACTCTATCCAGTGAAGTTTATGGGTAAGCTCGTTGGATCTTTTGTGCTTGCTGGTTGTTGTTATTATTGGCTAGAGATTTGCATTGCATTCTTTTTGCGTATCTCAAGCCAACAAAAATTGATGGTTTTGGTGAATAGATGTGTACAAAGTGATTCAATTATCGCATGATGTACGAGAGATACCTTGAATCGACTGAAGTGTTGAATCATGGACATGAAGTGTGGAATGATGCTGCCAAAACCGTGATTGATTAAAGGAAAATATGTCAACTTAGATTAAAGAGTTCTACATAAAGAGTCAGGTGGCGAATTGCTTCTCCAACAAAAGAAGGTTAGTTGTCTTGGGAAATTTGTTAGCTTGTGAGCCAGGGAGTTGTGCTGTCTTGCAATATGGTTTCATTCGTCTGTGTTGGTCTTCTTAGCAAAATGAAAGATGTGGAGCGTCAAGTTGCAGAGGGTCCATGAGATTTCGTCAAGATTCTTCGTAAAGTGTGTAAGTTTTTTGAAGTTCGCTAAGATCCGCAAGAGAGATATTTTCATGAGAGATCATCTTGAGACCTCGCATAAGTTTTTTGAAGTCCGACGAGATCCGCAAGAGAGTTATTCTCATGAGAAATCATCCCGAGACCTTCTTCGGCCGTCTATGTTATCGTCATAATAGTGATTGTTATTTGCATATTATTGCATTCAAATTTTTAATATCTAACTATTTATCCTCCAACTCTACTAAGACATCCGTATTGATTAGTGCATTATGCATTATTACAAAAATGATAGAAAACATAACATTCGCAACTTCTACATCTAACTATTTATCCTCCAACTCTACCGAGACATTCGTGTTGATTAGTGCATTATTACAAAAATGAATCCATGTGTAAATGTCATATATGTCATTTGGTATAATAATTTTTTTTTATAATTTATAAAAAAAAAGACTAATCACTCTCCATACAAGTAGACTTACTAAAATCGTTTCCTAAAAACCCACAAACAAGAATAAAACCAGCATCTTCACATCACACTTGCTAGATTTTGTGCCTTTTGGTGCCACTTCTTCAAATCTATATATCATGGTCATACCTATTTGGTTTTGAGTCTTATAATCTACCTAGGAATAGCATACTATTCCCCATATGGAGACACTCGTAGATCACCATGGAGACTGGAGACTGTCATCGTGGATCATAGGAGCCGGTTGAGACATTGGCAATGGAGGAAGGATCTCGAGGCCAATCTACGTTTTCCTTGGTTTCATTTAGCTCCATGGAAGCATCATCAGTAAAAGGTGGTTTGGTGGGTGCAGGTGGCTGCTTCTCCCGATCCAATAGCATCTGCAATGCACAAGAGACCGACGGCCTAAATGTCGGGATCTCCTGGGTGCATAGAAGTCCAACATGAAACATCTTCATCACTTCCTCTTTCACAGCATCGCCATCTGCGTATCTGTCCAGAGTTATATTTGGATCCATCAACTGTTCCACTGTTCCTGATTGAAAATGCTTCCATGCCTACACATCCACAGATTAGACATTTAGTGACATCGGTCATACAATATTGTTACTGATGTTCTTTCTTATGCTTCACTTTTTATGCTCATAGAGCAGATACCGTGAATGTGCATATCTAGGGACTTCAACACATCATTCATGTGATTGGAAGGTCTAATGGCATCTTAGCCGAGGCTTAAATATACACTTGAACTAATATGGTTGATATTTTCGACCAATTAGGATTCAACACCTGAATTCTAATCAGTCGTATGGAAAAACATTCTCTATAATATTTTCGATGAGAAGAATATCCCCTTGGTCACTCTATATGAATAGGAACCTTCATGTGATTGTCGAAGAGACATGAAATCATGACCGTGAAAATTTTTTTCTTGGGAAAATCACCTTTAAGAAACGTTAGACCACCTCAAAGGCCTTATTCTCAAACATGACAACCCTAAAACAATAGGTGATACTAACAAATTCCATAGAATAATATAGCAGTTTATGGTCAGCCACTTACTTGAGTTAGCAAACTCTCCGAGGACTCAGAATCATATTCACAAATTTTGCTCCTATTGTTAGATATTCCAGTCACAATCTCTATCATAAGCACCCCGAAACTGTAGACATCGGCCTTCTCTGTTAATTGTCCATGGGCTATGTATTCTGGAGCCATGTAGCCTCTGTAAGCAGATGATGAAATTTATCAAGCATACATAAATAGTAGGCACAAGAAAGCATGTGAATTGCCAGGCGATACAAAGTTTAAGTGATGCAAAAGAGTTGTTTTGCTCATTCAAGCATTCCATGGCACTTTAAACAGAAGGATGAGGCAAGATTACTTACAGGGTTCCTGCTATCGCCGTGCTTATATGACTTTTGTCACCTTGGAATGATCTTGCTAGTCCAAAATCGGCAATTTTAGCTCGAAACTTTAAATCTAACAGAATGTTGCTTGCTTTGATATCCCTGTGAATGATTTTGACCTTGGGGTTCTCGTGCAGGTACGACAGACCTTCAGCAGTGTCGGTAATGATGTTAAATCTTTTACGCCAATCTAATGCTTTACCGTTTTCCCGATCTGTCAAAACCATGTAGAATGCATTTTGTTACAATAAAAATAGATTAATCATGCAGCAAAATTGGGAGAAGAGGCAATGCTTGTGAAAATAGCAGCTGTCAAAAATTAAATGCGGACACAGCTAAAAATTCTACTAGCATATAGACTTCTGGTCCTACAATTGCAGTATTGACACTTGTTATAAGAGGAAGGAATTAGAGTGTGTCATATTAGTTGCCAGACTGAAGCAACAACAGTATCAAAATGGTCTCGTAAGTATTTTACCAAATAAGAAACGATCAAGGCTCTTGTTTGGAAGGAACTCGTAAACAAGTAGGCTTTCAGGTCCCGAACAGCTGCAACCCAACAATCTGACAAGGTTCTTGTGCTCCACACTGCTGATTATGTTAACTTCATTGTAAAAATCTGAAACCCGGTGTTTATTGTTAAAGAATAACCTCTTCACAGCAATTTCTCTTCCATCAGATAGAGTTCCCTATCAACCAGTTGCAAGTTTATCAAACACGAGATATTGATCATGGATTCTCTGCTTCAACTGCAGAATTTTCCTGATTCTTTTATATGGTAATATAGTCCATCGAGCTTATTTATCCGAGAAAATGAGAAAAATAGCACCAAAAAATTCTGACGGAAATGTGATTTGTTCGTTACCTTGTAAACTGTTCCAAACCCTCCCTGCCCAAGCTTGTTGGAAATGGAAAAACCTCCAGTAGCTTTCTCGAGTGTGGAATACTTGAAATTCAAACTACTATCATAAAGGGCTGATGCCAATCTCGTAGCATTATTTGCACCTGAAGAATATGCATAATACAACCATTAGATGATCGCAAAGGTTGAATTTAAACATAGTTCTGCTACTTATGAAACGAAGTTGCTAGCATCTTGTACATAAAAAGTCATGATATCTTGTCGCACAATGGAACAGTTTACATGTGCTAGTATACTCGATTACCTCTTTTCTTTTTCAGTTTCCTTTGCTTCCACATAAACACTCCTACTGTAAGCCCAACACCAATAACCATCAGAGCACTACCGATAGCAGCAACCATAGCAATGATGCTTCCTGTATATATGTCCAACAAAAAAAGCTGTGTATCAGCCAAGAAGAACGAGTACCTAAAAGAAACTATTATGATCGTAAATCATATCAAGAAATCTATGATCTGTCTAATATCACATACTTCTTCCGAGCCCGCTGCTTTGGTCAGCGTTTAAGAAGTTTGTATCCGAATATCTCAAGAAGCATCCTGTGTTGAGTGCGCGGCCTTCTGACCAAGGTAAGCATCCAACCACTGAAGCTGATGCATTTTTGAGACAAGCCCTGCACGAGCTCTCATTCAACGTCCGCCAACAATTGACCAAAACGTAAGCCGACTCATTCAAGACCCCACTTCTCAGAGCAGAAGCCTTTGCATAGCCACCATTTCCGGGTGCCTTATCGGTGGCCTCTTGTAAAGCCTGCTGAGCCATCTGTTCAAAGACTCTGCTTTTACGGGTCGCATTCCCACATTTTATGTTGTCTTCAGGACCTGTGTACTCCGTGAAGAAGCTGTAATTCGCTGACCGCATGAAGCAACCATCAAGGAATATACGTCCACTATTATAGGGGAAGCACTTGGGGAGAACAGTTCGCGCCTCAGCATAACACAAAGCACAATCTAGAGAAGAAAGGTCACCATAGCATTGACCTAATCCATAGTTTCCATCAGGTCCGGAGCCCACTGTTGATTTTCCAAAACCGCCCGCTCGTATCTGGTTGCCGACATTATCCATTACAGCAAGGAAATTTGGAACATAAGCTGTGGTATTATGTTCCAATTGTCTCCCACACATGACTTCAACCGTTTCAGATCTTGGATCTCCTCTGGTGAATCCATATAGGAACATGAAAACCAGTGGGTGGACGATCAAACCAACCGTAGACATCGGATGAGTGTCGGAACTTCGAATCTTCTTCATAACACAACAAGTACCAGATCTATCTGTCGAATTAGCAAAACCGTAAACATCCATCCATGAAGAAAAAAGAACATTGCAAGTTAATTTCAATATGAATCAGAACAGAAATTGAGTCACATTTCTTACTTTAGACCATAAATACCTAACCACACACCGGATGAAGAGAGAGCCTCAGTGATCGTATCTACAGAACATTCTTTCCGAAGTTGCTCTGTACATTGTATTCACTGTCCACCAAGTTTGTTTGCTTAAAGAACAGGACGGAAACATCAAGTTAATTCAAGAAGGAAGTGGTAGATGTCAAAACAAGTGTTCTTTCACATCATGTTTCGGAGCTTAGTGGGAACCCTTTGCAGGTATCGAGAACCAACTCATCTTCTTGCTCTTTTGCTCTTTGCCAGAATTGGACACCTCCGCTCAGATTGATTCTAACTATGAGGAGGAAACAAAACCAAGTTCTGACAGATTTTGCTTGCAAATCTTTGAGCAGTAGGAGCAAGAAACAAGAGAAACATCCGCGACAGCTATAAATCGGGCCGTAATACTTTATGACAAGAACAAGTGCGAAATCAGAAATCCGAGGGGAGAAGACCACACATACATACATGGATCAGAACATAGAGAACCAGAGGGAGTACCCGACGCTTTTGGATTGTAGTGGGTGATTGCGATGGGGAAGAACCCTCCTCCCCCGTCTCTAGCTCAATCCAAGTTCGGAGCGGGCAGGGATTTTTAGGATGGTCGGTCAACCACAAGTCGTCGGGGCGACACTCCAAAGTCAAAGTCAAAAAGGATGCCGTGAGATCCCAAAAGTCTTGAAGGATCAGTGAAAATGTGCTACCGCTGTTGGTTGACTCTGTCGCCCACCCATACGCGTTTTAAGGGGTCGGGTGGCCTTTCACGTGGCAGATGGGACCCACATCCAACTCACGGACAGAAAACTTCTTGTGGGGAACTTAAAACCATGGGCAGTGGGCGATGTGTAATTATCCTCACATGCTTACATGATATTGGTCCGACGATGACGCAATAAATCTATTTACCGAGACTGATTTCACATAAAATCTAAAATTTTATATTAATATTTTTAAGTATTTGATGTGATGGATGTGGGTGATGTTTAAATGAACCTAATTTAATTCAGATGCATAATTCGAATAATCAATCTCTCGATGAGATTTCTTCGATGCTCTAGATAGTATTAGATGAAGAATAAGAGTCTCAAATAAATATTAATTGGCTTTCATTGATGTGTCTTGATGAGCTCACTCAAGAAAATAAATTTTATATTAAATTAATATCCATATGATTAAATTATTTATCAGACTTAGTAATCATATTATGGGATAAATATCTCTATTTAAGTTGGTAAAAATATTTAAAAATTGTGAATCCAAATAATGGGTTGTTCATTCTTCCAAAATCTAATTAAAAAATAAAATATAAAAAATTATTGCCTAATTTATTATTTTATAAACCATCTTCTTCAGTCATATTAATTACACATTTTTTAATATTTCCTAAAAATATATGCACAGATGAGAATTGTCTATAACAACAAGAAAATAAAATAAAATTTATGCATAAAATAAGTAATCCACATAAAGTTTGGATTTGATTGCACACAATAGTAAGCCAATTCATGTGTAGTTGATCAACATAATTTTGATGAAGACATCCTCATCCAAGTTTTACATTAGTAAATACATGAACTCTACCCCAAGATTGGCAGTGTCCCAATGAACCATGAACTAGATAGTACTGATGATGATAGAAATAGTTAGCAGTAATAATACTGATGAGATCAGTCACGGAATTTTAATTATTTGGTTCCAATAAATGTGGACATTACATGATGAGACCACATGGTTATTCAAAATAGCCACATATTGAATTCCCATATGCATCAAAGAAAATACAAAAGGGAAAGAAAATAAATAAAGAAAAAGGAGGGAGTTACTCAGTTTCACATTCCCCTTGTCCAACCATTCTTGGGTCTCCTCAGGTTCTGTTTCCCTGTAGCATCCAAACGTCCAGGCTCCAAAGTCACACAAATGTTCATCTGATTTCTGCACTGAAGCAGCAGGTTGTATCAATAACACAGTGCAGATTTTTTTGTCCAACTATTTTATCACCAAGGCAAACCAATAGGAAAGATGAAATCATGGAAACTATCAAGAAAAGCTCTAGAATAATATTTCGATAGTCGCAAACCTTGGAACCATATGAAGGCTAGGTGATCACTTCTGAAGGAGGAAGAAATCTCATCAGGAAGCTTGAGAGTGACCAAACGCAAATTATGCCGAGGATTTGAAGGACAATCAACAAAGTCCCCAAGGAGTTGCTTATGGCCATTGTATATGATGTTTTTTCGGCACTTCTAACTGAAAAAGATAGTGCCGCCACCAGCTGAGCTGCTCTATTTAACTGATGGAGTCTATATATCTGGAGGAATGAAAACTTTTTATATTATGAGCTATCTGCCAGTAATTCAAGATTAGCAGATGCACTCACCTGGAAAATAACAGGTATAACTGCACAAGCAGGTGATTTTTTATGACGAGCATACTGCTCAAAAGCAAATTGTACAACAATGCCAACCAAATACGGTGATAGAGTAGCCGAAGCTGCTGGCCCAGTCCATGGCCAGACCAAGCCCATGGTCAAAAGAGGTATTATAAGGGTCAGAACCAATGTTGTTACAGAAGTTACACGAAGGCCATACTGGGTTTTCAACCAGTAGTAATGGTTAGGTGCTTTGTCCTGTACAGGTCTCCATAGAGAATCCACTAGCAGAACAAAGATTGCAACTCCACTGTAGAAAAGAGCTTCTGTAAAGAAGAGTATGAGAAAATCTGCACATATAAACAAAAAAAATTACTACCACAATCAATTTCGTAAAATTGAGCAGCAAGGCATCAGAACGTCATGGTGGCAACCTAGTATTATTTAGTAATGAGTTTCCAGACTCCATTGACCACAAAAATAGAAGCAACAGTTGATGAAAATTTTGAACAAAATTTTTGCCTTGGTACCGGAAATATCATAAGAGGAAAACCAGGAAGAGAAACAAATGGGCAAAAGAGATGGAATCGTGTTGCATTACATCAAATAATCAAATTAACCTGAAAAGCAAAGGCAGAACAACAATCACGAAGGAAATAATTTCATTCAACCTTGGAACTCTCACTTGTTCGGTCCAGGATAAGTACTGATTCAAAACAAATTGGAAGGTATTTCAATTACTGCAGTTGGAGTGCATAAGATCTCAAGCTTAGGCTTCGGTTTCAACATTTTTGTGAATCACATTGCTGTCGCAATGTCATGTCACTGTTGCAACATCTGTAGCCAGAACAAATAAATAAAAGAGTTCACCAAAGGATGGTCAATCTTTATCCCGATCAAATTTCAATATATCATATATACTTATTTATCACAAAGATGTCATTCTAGAACATGGAAAAATTTTTCTAAAAACTAGAGAAGATGATATTTACTACATAAGACAATCAAGTTGGAATGTTGAATCTTATTATCATAGGCATTGCTTCATCCATCATATGGCCCTCATTGTTATAACTACAGGATCCTAGCCCAGTGTAGGTTAGGGTTTTTCTATGACCATTTTTATCCAGATTTTATCATTGGATCTTTAAAACATAGAATCCTGGCAAATTGGTGCCGGCATTGTGTTGGCATGAGATGTGCCAGCTGGCATGGCAACCCATTTTTTTGCTGCCATACCTTGCAGTGGTTTGCTTAATAAAGAATCCTTCGACCATCTTCAGTCCATGGGTGCACTATCTAAGGTGAACCATGTAAATGTAGCAAGTGAAGACTTACTAGGCTTGAGGTAGTGTTTTGACAGAAACAAATTATCATCATCTCTTTAGCTAAAAAGAATCTATGGGACTGTGAAAGTGTGGAACATGATGAGACCTCCGGGCATGTTAGATGTAAAATCTTGAAGGTTGTATTCCAAATTAAACCCAGAAGAAGAAATCCAACATAACAAACAGATCACTCAAAACTCACATGAGACACAATTGTTTAATTCCTCAATAAATGTCCTTCTCGCTGACACTAGTACATCAAATCAAGTGATAGGGTTCTATGTTTGTACCTCTTCAGCTTTGCTTCAACATGTCCAATGATACTTTCAGGTTGAGAATGAAAATAAAGTTTTATCATGTTATAATTTTCAACATAGTAATTATAAACCTTAGTGATCATTTAAGAATGATTAACAAACATCTATCCCAAGTTCATACCAATAGAGTTCATTATGTGCCCCCTTTTCCATGAGTAAAAGCTCCACGAGTAAAAGTATCTTTTCCGAAACTTTGCTAGCAAGGCTACCTTTCAACACACAAGATTATATGAAAGACATACTATAATTTGCATACTAGAACTACTTGAAAAATGTCTATCAAACTACCAGAAAAAAGTAACACCTTCACTCAAAGAAACTTATACATGATCTTAAATGCCTTCATGGAACTGTTATTGTACTGCATCCACACCACTAAACTGCATACATATATTCACAAACATTCACACAGTAATTACCACACCAAGAATGGTGTCTGACCAAGCAAAATGGAGTAGCCAGCTAAAACTCAGATATGTGTGTATAATAAATAGCATCAATAGAATATCAAAAGATTGGACTTCTAAAGTATACAAGACATAGTACCTGTTAATAAAGAGTCCTCGAAAAAGGTAGAAAGTATTTTTCGCAAATAAAGTGATGGGAGAACCAAGAAGGCTACCAAGACGGTCGGACCAATAAACCAAAGAATTTTGGATGTTTTCTTGGTTGGAGTAGATCCAACTTCATCTCCCTTTATGGAATGATAACCATGGAATGAGATAAACCCTGGTTTCCCTTCAGATTTCCCAGTAAAATAAGAAAAACTTCTTTTTGAAGAGCCATCTTGATTATCCAAATCTAACTTTTCTGACTCCAAACTTTCCAAATCAAGCTCAGTATAGGATGACTGGTCTTCAGATGTAGCAAGAGGAGTTAGCCGCCTAATCAGAAACTGATTCTTTGATCTGACATATCTATATACATTATGTGCTGGTTTTCCTGATACAATTAAGCACACAGATTTTGTACATACTACAAATACAAGAAAAAAATGAAGACAAAAAGAGTATTTTAATATGAAAAAGGGTACCTTGGATCTTATGTGGTTTTATCTCATATTTCTTTCCATCAACGCACCTCCTCGATGCCAACTGAGAAGGTACAATTGGAATAGCAGCAATGGTTAAGAGAGAGAGAGAGAGAGAGAGAGAGAGAGAGAGAGAGAGAGAGAGAGAGAGAGAGAAAAGAGACAAACACAATAACATGAAATGGGTGGCCATGACTCACCAATCGCAAAGGTTTTTATTTTATTTATTTCAAGATATATAACAGAGATTTCACACATTTGTCCTCCAACAATATTTGCAACTGTAAAGGCTTTTCAAGAATTGCATTCCAATTGGCATGAGCCAGCATATGCTGTGAAAAAAAGGCATCAATATCGATGAATCTCTTGCATCATTACTCTGGTCTTTGATGCTTCTTTTAATTTGGACGGACATTCAAATGGATTTGCTCCATTTCAATTAACAACTTCATCCCAACATCCATCTTTAATATTGCTTTAACTTGTTCTTCCATAAATTGACCTTCAATAAAGCTGATTCTTCCATGGTATCAATTCTGCATCTTTAGTTCCTGCAGCTCGTTCTTCCTCAAGTGACTCGTTACACCTATCGAAAGGTATATTTCAAATCTTCTTACATTTCAACTATCATTTCTGTTATAATTGTAGATGTACAGCTCTTTGTTGAAGTCTTGCGGTGGATGGCCGCAATATGCAGTGAAGTGATCTATGTTTGCATACGGTTCCTCTACCATTGCAATGCGCAAAGTGCTATTAAAGATTGTTCCTTGATGGCAATATTCATTTTGATATCACCTTGATGTAGCCTGGATCCAAGGGTCACATCTTTAATAATAAAGCCTTCAACCTTAACCTAGGCAACGTTCATAGATTGTTTCATAATCTAATATCTACGACTAAAAGAAATTATGTGAATCAGCTTTTCATTCTAATTATTAAAATTAAAGGTGTAACATGTTCATCTCTCCAGCAAAGAACAAGGTAAGAATCACATCTGAGAAAGTTAAAGAAACATTCTGCGTTCTAATAAACACAAAAACAAAAGACAAAATTTAAAGCAAAAAGAATTACTTTTGTTGCAAAGACAGTGGACACGGAGAAAACCAGCAGAAGAAAGAAAGAGAAGAAAGACCATCAAATAGGAAAAAAAAAAGAAACAGACATACAATCACTTTTTCAGTCAGCAGTCAATAAATACTATGATCTAAGTTATCCCTTTAATAAGATTGCAACATTACCAAAAATGCTGTCATCTCTGGAAGTCCAGACAGTGACACCATCACTGTTGGAGAAATACTGTTCTTTGGGATGTTATGATCAATTCAACTAAAAATTCACCATCTACAAACACAAAAGACAACTTCCTGCATGTAGGAGGATATCTGTCTATGAAGGCACAACTTTGCAATTTGAGTATATAAAAAATACTGACTTCCTTACAGTCATTGACCAAAACCTAGATGCCAAAGAAGTCAACACGAGCCTTTGAAAGAAGCATGGATGATATTGCAACCTTCAAATCATATCATGATGATAAAGTCAAATAAAATTATCCAACTCCATTTCCCCTTCTTAAGGTGATCACCATGAGGTTCTAGGTGCCAATCGCAGTAAAACACAATTACAACCAACCAATTAACGCTACCTTCAAAACGTTCTGTTTCTTTTCAGCTTTGGTTAACATATAATTAATCTAGGTCATGTCTCCACTAATTAATCTATAGATTTGAAATCGGAGGTTTATAGGCTGCAACTCAGGAATCTATGAAAGAATATCGGCGAGTTGTTCCATGGTTCGGGTGTTTGTGGCCTCCTGTTTTCTTCCTTATCCATTGATCAATTAACCCTAATTCTTCCTGTTTTCTTGCAAGTCTTTCCCGCTGCCGCAGTCGATTCGACAGCAGCGCTGAATTAGTAGACGCATCCAACCATATAGCAGCAGGCATCAGCGACAATGAAGACTTATGCAAGGAAATCATCACACGCACAAACAATCGCGATAAAAAAAAAAAAAACCATCATTTTGATTACAAATTCCAAATAGACAAGACCAAGAACCAAAGAGGAGAAGATACAATACCTGAAGTTCCTGTGAAGGGCGGAAAAAGAGAAAAAAGGTGGAAAGGGGAGGAATCAGTACAGATAATACTTGCCTTGAAATACCTGTGGAGGGTGGTGGGGGAAGAGGAGGAAGGAGACAAGGAGGAGGAAGAGGAGGCAGAGACGGAGGAGCAGCACCAGTGGTAGGAGCAGGAGGAAGGGGAGGAAGCAGACGAAGTAGGCCGAGGCGGAACACCCATCATCTATCCACACTGCCTCTTCTCTTTCCTCTCCGCTATATAGAGTGGCGACGAATAATTACCATTAACTATACAGTACATAACACACAGAAGGTAACAGCCGACGACGAACGAAGAGGTCCGCATGAACCACTTAGTTATTTGGACCGGTTTCGAATCGAGGCGCCCGGCTCGGCCCATGAGAAGACCTGGGCCAAATGGCGGACCGGATGGACCCGGTTTGAGCCGAACGGAAAAGAGAAAGGTCGTTCGACGTTCTCGGATTCCCTCGATGATGATGATGATGATGGGTGAGGAGGTTGATACATGCCATGGTAAAGACCGATTCATGGTGTTGGACATGTGAGAAGAAACATACTCGATGGGTTGGCATTAGTATATATGTAGGCGGCATGCGGTGCTCGGCGTGTCCTTTTTGGATGGCTGCACTTATTTCTCAAAGCTCAGTAATACTCGAGACATAATTATATTGGCCAACTTTGGACGGCCTCTCTGCAGTCCCTTACACAGAGAAAAGCTTCGGCCACAATGGATTCTTTGGTTCGGTCTTCCTATCTAAGAATGCACAGGTAAGAAGATTATAGCTTCGTGGTGGGATCAGAATCTATTCTCAGTTCCTACACTGGGAAAGCACTGACATATATCTTTAATCCTTTGACTGGGGCAAGCAAGTTTCGGCCATTAGTCTCTGTTCTTCTGCCTGTTGGAATGGGAGAGGAGAAGAGAAGCCCAAGATGACAGAGCATTCTGTCCACTTACAGCTTGCCTCTTTGTAAGGTTTTTGAGAAGCTTGTGTTGCAGAGACGCCATATGCCAAGGATGGTTCCAAAACGTTGGATGGGAAGGGAAAGGGAAGGAAACAGGGCGGAGGTCCCTCAAAGAAAACAATGACTGACAACACACATCTAGGAACATGAGAAAAAAAGACACCCAGAATCGAGTGGATTGCCTCCTTTAAACCCCAAAAGCAAGTACTTGGAGGAAACCCAAAGAGCATGCATGCACCCACAGCACCCCCACACAACCAGAAATGAAAAGAAGAGAAGGGAAAAAGGAAAAGCTAAAGATGCTGCTGTCCCTCGTGAGTTGTATTCCAATGCTTCATCCTCCTCCTTTTTCTACGCCTACCTATAAAACCCATCATTTTAGGCACAAAAGAAAGAGATGAAGAAGAGGAAAAGAAACAGTGGGCATCACTTTAAGCACCCAACATCTTGATTACCATCCCAGCATGAGAGGACTATATTATACCTGCAGCACCCCAGCAATTAAGCCTGTTCTTTTGGTTGCCTCATGTTACAGAATCATGCCTTGTCAGAGGAGGCTACGCCACGCTCTTTTGAAGAAGAAGGAAGATTGATATGTCATTGGTGGGAGTCAGAGCGGTTTAGTTGATTGCAGAAGAGGTTTGATCTGAGATGAGAGTGTCCGGCGGAAGAGGAAGAAGATAAGGAAACAAGGCGGATTCACTGGCGGCTACGACACTCTTCCGATGGTTCTTCTCTCGCTTGGTGTTCTTCTTCTGCTTGCTGGTATGAGTCCTGTCTTCTCGGAAGCCGCAGCCAACAACACATTCCGACCAGGAGAAGAGCTTCGGAGTTACAGGCGCGTCAGAGCTCATCTCAGGAGGCTGAACAAGCCTGCGGTGAAGACAATTCAGGCACTTGTTGTTTCAGAACCCAGTTGTTTTCTTCTTCGTGGAATCCGAGTCTTAGTCTTTTGCCTGTTGAACAGAGTCCAGATGGTGATACCATCGACTGCGTGCTCTCTCATCTTCAACCAGCATTCGATCATCCCAGACTGAAAGGAATGAAACCTCTGGTAATAGAACGAAAGCTTCTCACCGCTGCGTTACACTGGGGAAGAAAAAGCTGTTGATTTCGACTGCTTGCAGGATCCACCAGAGAGACCCAAAGGCCACAGAGCTGATGCCGCGACCCAGAACAGCTTCCAGCTGTGGAGAGTTTCTGGTGAGTCGTGTCCAGGTGGAACCGTGCCGATCAGGAGGACGAAGGAAGAAGACATCCTGCGAGCCAGCTCAGTCAAGAGGTTTGGCCGGAAGCTGGCAGTGAGATCAAGGCATGATTCCGAGACCGGCGGCCACGAGGTTAGTCTCGGCTAATTGTTTGGGTGATGCTCGTCGCTTAATCTGCTCATTCGATGCCTGTATTCCGTAACCTGTAAAGATCCTACATGGTTACAGCACGCAGTGGGCTATGTGGTGGGAGATCAATACTACGGCGCAAAAGCAAGCTTGAATGTGTGGGCACCAAAGGTGACGAATCCTTCCGAGTTCAGCTTATCGCAAGTATGGGTCATCTCTGGATCTTTCGGCACTGACCTCAACACCATCGAAGCTGGTTGGCAGGTACTCGATCATAAACTCTATTTGAACTACAAGCGAAAAGAGGAAACCAATTCCAGTTTCTCTCTCGCCACAGGTGAGTCCGCAGCTATACGGTGACAGTTCTCCCAGGTTCTTCACATACTGGACGGTGAGTTCCCTTGTCATACAAACCACTGATTCGAACTGGGAGATCATATGGCTAATGATTCAGCATGCCGTGTCTTGAAGACCGACGCGTACCAAGCAACCGGATGCTACAATCTTTTGTGTTCTGGATTCATCCAAACAAACAACATGATCGCCATCGGAGCTGCCATCTCCCCGACATCGACGTACGACGGTGGCCAGTTTGACATCAGCCTGCTTGTCTGGAAGGTAAGAACCTATCGGTCAAACAAAACGTTGAAGGACAGAGATGAAGCAGAGTTGTTTGTGTAGGATCCGAACCATGGGAACTGGTGGCTGGAGTTGGGGTCGGGGGAGCTGGTGGGCTACTGGCCGTCGTTCTTGTTCAGCCACCTGTCGGAGCACGCGAGCATGGTGCAGTTTGGGGGGGAGATCGTGAACACGCAGCCGCAGGGGCTGCACACCGCCACCCAGATGGGGAGCGGGCATTACGCCCGAGAAGGCTTCGGCCGGGCTTCCTACTTCCGGAACTTGCAGGTGGTGGACTGGGACAACAGCTTGATTCCCGTGGCGAACCTGCGAGTGCTCGCAGACCGCCCCAGTTGTTACGACGTACAAGGCGGGATCAACAGCGTGTGGGGGAACTATTTCTACTACGGAGGTCCGGGAAGAAACGACGACAGATGCACTTGATCAATGACACACAAAGGAAGCTCCTTTTTTGCGCCTCCTCCTTCTTCTTCTTCTTCGGGTCTTGTGATTGAGTGTTGAAGAATTTTTGTTGATTTCCGCCATTAATTACTCGCTTGATTACCTGAGTTTTGTTGATTTCTGGCAAACCTGTATCTCTGCCCATTAATTGTACACAGCTTTAGAGCTAGGCCTGTAAAATTTGAAGCATACTACAATGGAATTATACACCATAGCTAGTGAGTGTTTTTCTCAGTTTCATTGTTTTCTTTGTTTCAGTTTCAAACCCTAAATATATATTTTTTTATATTTATTAATAAGTCAAATTGGACCGTCGAATTGTACCTATCATCAGTAGTACTTACTTTGTCATATCGATAGATTATGACAAGTCTGCTCTGCTCGCAGTCTTACATCCTTTTTCTCCTAATCATCGAGGCATGCACTATACAAAGATTGAGAAACGGACCTACTGACCTGACACAAGACAAGACCAGCAACAGTAATCTTGAGGAACAAGCTAACTAAACTTGACGCAAACGAAGGCTGCATTTCCGTCCTTTGCTTTGAGTCTAATGAGGTAAAGTCATATTTCTGATCTCACTCGCTAAACCAAACACTTTGGACCACTTCTTTCGAGACATAATACATAACGTTGTGACGCATGTTGTTTCATCTCACCCAACGCACCAGTGAATATTATATACAGGTGCTGCTGACACATTGTTGTCTAATATGATATGAAAATGGCGATTGCTTCAATTGTAAGAATTCCATGAGTAAATACTTGTTTCTTAAAGGGAAACAGAAGCTGTTTTAGGAACAAACAATCGCAAAGAAGCTCACAAAAGAAAGAGTTATCCACAAATCTTCCATACAACCAAACACATACGAGTAAAATTCCAAGATCAAATTACGCTCATAAATAGTTAAATCTAATACAATGTGATTATAGCATATTCTAGCATCAACTCCACAAACACGGACCTGGCACAACGTTCCAAAGCACACTGAGCCAACTCAACATCCCTGATCTGAACGAGGCAGCCGCTTGTCATCTACGTTGCTAGCACATTGCACCAGCACATTGCACCAAGAGGCTGTACGAAGCAACGTAGCCCCGTCTTGAGCTACTCCAAAGCAACACCAAATGAAGCAGGGCCAGACATATCAGATTGCACCCGTGTCCCAACATACAAGCTGACCACCCATGGCGACGACATCTTTAAACACATGTGTATGAAGACGTCGATGACCATTAACAGCTACGCACGTCAACACACGACAACAAGTATTAAAGCCACCCCCAAGAATAGCATTGGGGTCGGACCTCAAATATACACACACACACACACACACTCCAACTCTCTCATCTCCAATTCTTGCTAGCTTAAGCAGCGGAGGGGTCGGGTCGAAAATCCCCCTCCCGATTATGACCTGTGTGCAAGCACCCAACGGACAACTAAATGAGTGACCTTCAGCCTCCACCTAAGAGAACAAGGTCTACCCCCACTCAACCAAACCTCGGGTTAACACGCTCCAGCTCAGAGGCCATGCTGGTGATCTTGCACACTCGGGACGAACCCAACCATGCCGACACCTCAGCCACGACATAAAGGTACAAAACACAATGTAAGTCACATCTTAAAAACAAAATTAAAAGAGGTTATGGGACTATGATTGAGAGATACCAATGTCTATCTTGTTATGGGACTATGATTGAGAGATACCAATGTCTATCTTGATTGAGAGATACCAATTTAACCCCTCATGTAGAAGCATTCCATCAAGGTCATGTTGCCCTATCAAACTTGAGATAGAGAAGCCCAATTGTCTTTGAGAATCACAACCTTCCTAAATCAAAGAATTGAAACACAAACGAGGATGGCACTAAATTTAAATAAAAATTCACAGAAACATACTAGAAGAGGATATCCGAGAAAAATGAAAAAGCTCTGCTAAGCGACACTCTAACAATGAAACTGCATTGATTGACACTAATATCATAAAAACCAAGCAAAAAGGGAAAAAAGTAAAAAAAGAAACTTGTGCATCAGCAGAGAGTTCTGGTCAGCATATTACTTACCTGAAAGCTCAGAGATCAAGTGTAAAGCCATCATATGCACAATGTTTTTTGTATAAAAGCAGAAAGCAAATAGGAGAAAGGAGGGAATACAAACTTAGGAGTGAAAACATTCAGGCCCAAGTCAGAAGTTCTCTAACATTAATCTGTCCTGTGATTAGTGATTGGCCAAATGGCTTAGGCCCCATTGGCAATGATCAGCATCTAGAATGTAGGAGAATCGTGCACAGAATGCCAGTGCGAAGCCTGCACATGCAAGGCCTTCCTAGAATGCTTAGAAAAAAACATTATTAGAAACTCAAATTGTATATCTGAATTGCACTCATCGGAAAACCCAAGAGCTATCACAAGACACTATTAACCAGCATCTATTTTTTTTTGTAAAATTTAGTAAAACTAATATTCTAAGCTTGGTTCCCTCACATTTGTTTGCTGGAATAATGATAAGAATGTTTCCTAGCCCATGCTAGTTTCTGGCTGAAGACAAAAACATAGTACTAGTTCCAAACGGAGCTCTATGAGTGTCTTTGACTAAGTTCACAACAACTGACAGTTTGAAGAAATTTGTTAGCTTCTCTCATAAGATGTTGAGGTTGACCATCAACAAAAAAAAAATGTTGCATATCATATATTACATTTATATAAAATCCACTTCTTCTGTTCAATTTTAAGGATGACCAGTACCAAATTTTGGTTGCAAGAGATCCCAATTAGTCTCTGTTATAGTCTCTTGGATCTTGCTCTTTGATTTTTCACCCCTATGTGTGTTGTTACCGAGAATGATAAGAAAAAAATATTTTTATTCATCAACAATTAGATATTACTTCGATAGAAGATAAAATTAAATAGAATCATTCAAGAGGGTATGGACATGTGCTCAACAAACCTACAAACGTGACAGAAGAGATGAAATGATTAATTTTAGTGACATGGGAGATAAAAAAAATTAAAAATACTTTAACAGTAGATACTATAAATAAAAATTTAAATACACTTAAATTAACTAAACATATGACCTTACGGTTATATGTAGTAGTCGATCTCAAATATTAGGACTTACAGTTTTGTTATTGTTTATTCTCACAGCATAAACAATACTACTGATATCTTATAACAAAAGATTAATTTCTTCTGAATTGTTTCCTTTTTGATAAATCATAGCTCTACCACTTGTTGATGCAGTCAAAAATATCTTGTCTTAATAGTCAACCAGAAGCTCCTAGTTGCAGTCTTAATCTCCCAGGATGCATCAAACACAAAGAAACGAGTTGCTTGTCGACTAAAAACTGAGGGGGTGACAAAAATGCACAAGTAAATGGAAGAAATAAGCATAGGAGATAAAATACATCATTCAAGATACAGATAAGAACACTTGAAAACACGTACCAAGATATTTTAAACAAGACTATCTATACTTCTAGAGCCACCTCGCTCCCGAACAGCAGCGCGCACCTCCCGTCCACCGCAAGATCCATCGCCGCCACGGCGACCGCGGGGTGAGATGCTGCTACAGGAGGAGCCGAAGGATGGGCAAACCCTAGCGCACGGAAAAAAGCGTTGAATTGGAGTCACGGGTGCGTGCCGTGTGTATAAATAGGCGAACCATGGTTGGACTCGAACCGGAAATCATTTTTCGAACCGGATCAGCGTCAAGTGGTTCAAGCCTCGGCTCATAAGTGATCATTAATTAAACCGGTTGGTCGAACCACAAACTTAATAAAAATATATTATAAAAAAATATAAAATCATCAAAAAAAAATAAAAGTGATTTTTCAGAAAAAAAAACTCCTTTTCATAATTTTCAGAATACACTAACATGAGATAATTTTTCAATCCAAATAATATATAGACCGATCGATATAGTGAATCGATACGAACCCTAAGACTTATATTGTTATATATAATGTATTTGAATAGATTTATAGTATTTTTTAAATATATAAAATTGATGCAAATTGATTCAAAATCAATACAAACCCACTTATATATAAAACTAGGGTTTAAATAATTATCATAACTAAATAGGAATATTTGTATGAGAGAGATATACTAAACCAACTTATATACAAATTAATATTTTTTAAAAAAATTAACTCAATAGAAATTAACTCATATAAAAATTTAATATTTTAAATTTATATCGTTATTTGTATTAAAAAAAATAAAATAGAGAGACTTCCTTCTCAGATATATTTTATTGTGAAATATAAGAAACATGAGACACCACTTGGGAAATATAATAAAAGGATGTATTCGATAAAAAATTAAAATAAATATTTAGAGTTAATTATATATTATTTTTTATAATTAATTATCTTTAGTATTTTGATTATTATATTTTTAAAAATTATATTATGATGTTTATACTTATAAAAGTGAAACATTTAATCTATTTTTTTTTATTTTTATGATGAATAGAGGAAGAGGGAGTGTTGGGCCCAAGATGGGCCCACACAGGAGGACCAATCAAAACGGATTGGGTTTAAACTTGGCAATCCGAAGAATGGTGGGTGCAGAAAGAAGGGCATCGCCTGTTGGCTACAGAAACAAGCAAAGCCGACAATTCTACCTCAAATCGCAGGTTAAGAACCAAACCGTACCAAACAAAAGCGAGAAGCTGTTCACATTCCCAATGCCTTGGAGACGTCCGCCATTGAGAGGCAAAAGAGCAAAGACAAAGCAAAGCAACAGCAAGCTGGCGAGTCCTCCAGGGACTTTAGACCCTGGGAAGCCAACCCAAGGAAAAAGGAGCAATGTGTGTTGAATGAGCATATACAACTTAAAACAATGGCTTCGGCAACAATGGATTACTCATTATATAGTAGGATAAACAGGCAATGGGTTCCAGCATAAGGATATGGCCATCACCACGGTCTCTTCCCCTGCACTAGTTTTCCTAGTTGTAGTAGCCTCCTTCCTCTGCACCTCAACTCGGGCTCAACACTCTTCGTGCGACAACAGCTTCTCCTTCTTCGAAGAAGGCATAGCCGGAAACGTAACTCACTGCAGGAAACTCCGCACCCTCGGCGCGGAGCTCGGGTGGAGTTACCACAACACCACGCCAAACGTGACGCTGAACATTGTGTTCAGCGCCATACCTTCCGCTGCCGGCGGCTGGGTGGCGTGGGGCCTGAACCCCGGGAACAGGCCCCAGATGGTGGGCACCAGGGCCCTCATCGCCCTCCGCCCAGCCAACGGGACGCTGGCGATGAACACCTACAACCTGACCCGCGACACCATGCTTGGCTGCAAGCTCCAGCCTTCTCCCATCGAGGTGCAGGTGTCGAACATGCAAGCCAACTTCTCGGAGGAGACAGGCGCCATTACCATGTCCGCGACGCTCAGCCTTGATCCCTCCACCTACAACATAAGCGAGCTCAAGCATGTGTGGCAAGTCGGATCCTCTGTGGTCGACCAGGTGCCGCAGAAGCACCGTATGAGGTTGAAGAACTTCGATAGCTTCGAGGTCATCGATCTCACCACCGGGCGCGGGTTCAGGGACACAGGACTTACGAAGCAAAGAGTCGTAAGTAGACATTCTCGATCACCTATGCTCTTAATCGCCACCACATGCAAGTGTACAGGATACTCCTTTTATGCATGGTCTTGTTGGGTGTGCACAGGCTCATGGTGTACTGAGCGTGTTTGGCTGGGGGATCCTGCTGCCGGTCGGGGTAATAATCAAAAGGTACTCCAGGAACATCACTAAGAATCCGGAGGTGTGGTTCATGCTGCATATATCATTTCAGATCTCAGGGTACACCGTCGGCGTCACTGCGTGGGCCATTGGGATTGCACTGATGAGTAATTCCCGGCACTTCAACACCTTCAAGGGCCACAGGACAATCGGCATCATCATCTTCTGCTTGGCCACGTTGCAAGTAAGCATCAGCATCTTCCTCCTTTTGATTTACTACTCTGCTTCCGACTTTGTTTCTTGTTTGCCTACAGATTATGGCATTGTGGTTGAAGCCAAAGAAAAAGTATGAAGGGGGCAAAATTATTACAGATAGACCCAGAAAATACTGGAGCATCTATCATCATCTTGTTGGCTATACGTTGATAACTCTTAGCATAGTGAACATATTCAAGGGCTTCGCCATCCTGCGGCCACCACCAGTTTGGAAGTGGATTTACGTGGGATTACTGGCTGCTTTTTCCTGTGTGGCTTTTGGATTGGAGGTTGCTATTTGGGTGCATAAAAGTCGAAATAATAAGAAAACATCACGATGAAGCAATGGCTTCGTTCTGCTCTTCTTTGCCTTTGCTTCTCTTCCTAAATTTTCTTTTCATGGGGGTGACGACATGTTGGTGTCTATTTGAATGAGACAATATGATGTTTGTGTGCGTTTTTGTTTAGATATCTAAAGATGATGATTCATGGTTTGTTCATGGAAGTGATCCATGTTCAGCTCAGATATCCTTCTGCTTTCTAGAAAGAATGACATGCATTTGATCTTCAACGCTACAGTGAGAGTCGAGTTTCTTAACCCGCTCAGAATACAAACCTCCGACAGCAGAAGATTAGGAAGACGATGAGCAATAGCTATGAGTGTGTGCGTGTGTGAGTTCTTATTCCCCGTTAACGAGAGAGGAAACGAACAAAGGGTTTTGGGTCGACCGACTCGGGTCGACTGTGGACCGCTGAGACGGCCCAGAGATCATTTATGTTTCTGTTTGTTGTGGCCCACTATATATATATATATATATATATATAATTCCTTTATTTATTTCTGTGGAGAGAGAGATAGAGAGAGAGAGATAATGGCGGTTCCTCCGGTGATGGCGGAAGGAGCGGCGGCGGCGGCGCTAAGGACGGTGCTACAAAGGGTGCGTCAGGCGGCCGAGAGGTCGGGAAGGAGGGCGGAGGGCGTACGCGTGGTGGCCGTAGGCAAGACGAAGCCGGTCTCCCTCGTTCGCGGCCTTTACGACGCCGGCCACCGCTGCTTCGGAGAGAACTACGTCCAAGAAATAATGGAGAAGGCGCCTCAGGTGCCTCGTCTTCCTATTGTTTCCTCGAGTTGTTTACCCCTTTTTGTTTGGAGGACTCTATTACTTCTGATGTAGAATTTGTAGGTATTTGAAGCCACCGCATTCTATTAGCTACTTAATCACCTTGATCCTACATTTCAAGTCTTTAATAGCGACAGCGCATCTACTGGCTACGTGTTCTATATTTTGATGTGCTATTCGATTCAAAGTGACTCCATAAAGAGATTTTTCTTGCAGGAAGCAGGTCATTTGGCGTTTACTTCTAATTTCTTCATGAACAGACTCTCTCTTGAAATAAACAAAGCATTACTTTCGTAGTCCATCATTCCCACTCAAGGAAGAAATATATATATATACTTGATCAAATAGCTAACTGTCTCACCTTCATCAGGAAGATTGAGATAGTTTTTAGATCAATGTGGAAGAAACATTGGGTTGAATCCCCTTAAAGCAGCCACTGACTTTATGCCCACATCTCTAAGCTTATTATTTTAATGAGGGTTATCCAGGTTATTTTTAATCCTTAATAACATGACAATATTTGAGTGGGTAAACCTCTAACCAAAAATTAATGAACTAAATAGTAGAGAGTCAAGTATCAAGTGTCTGTTACCATTGTTACAAGTTAATTGGAAGATAGTTTTTTTTCAGATTAATTTGAGAAAGAAATGGATTCATCAATTCTTCCTTTTGCAGCTTCCTTTGGATATCGAGTGGCACTTTATTGGACACCTCCAGAGCAACAAAGTTAAACCTCTGTTAGGTATCTTTCAGCTGTCTCTTGCTGTTAAGCTTGTTTGGCCATTTTAGTTTGATTTCAAGTACTCAAATTACTAGGGATAACACAACTAGAAATTACAAATCAGTACTACCTTTTCTTCGTGAAAAGATAACACAAGTGGACTAGTCAGATTTTCCTGTTAGAAGGATACAAAAGAAGTGTTTGCGTGTAAGGAAAGGTACTCAATTCATGGGGTATGCTCACTTACTAAGGGAGTTCTTATTTGGAATAAATCATGTGCTGGAAAATACTACATTGCCTTGCCTAGTGATGCATATTGACAGTCATGGATATCATCTCCTTTTCTCAACTTATAATGAATCAATTGTTGATCCAGTGTTATCGATATAGTTTCCATTTTCTAATTGGAGTCAATGGAATTCTGTTTTATTTTGCAGCTGCTGTACCGAATCTTGACATGGTTGAGAGTCTTGATAGTGAGAAGGTAAATCAATCAACTTATTGTGTTTAAGGTAGTGGAACAAATTTTTTTCTCCAAAGTCTTAGTCATGTAATTAACATGAAACTAGCCTCTAATAGACTTCTTTGTTTGGCACCTAGATATTTTAGGTATTTTCTCTTGGTAGTTTTACATATGTCTGAAATCAAGTGGTAGCCCCACCTTCTAACTTGGAGCACGTAGAATGCAAATCTCAAATGTGCATCAATATGGTTCTTAAATCATGTTGTTTACAATTGTTTAAGGTTCTAACATGTTCCTAGTCAACATGCCAAGTTCATTGATTCCTTATTAACATACATAGTTCTTGGAGTTTTAGAAATTATGATCATCTACATATCACTTATGCATTTTATTAGTACCCTGCATGGAATCTTCAGAAACATTAGCTGCACGCCAAGAATTACATGCAGTAGAAGATTAGCCGTAATATATGAATTTAAAAACTAATGTACCATTTCATGTCTCAAATTGAACTCAAATTAGACAACACTTTCTGATTATCTATTATACATGAGCATATTGCTTGCAGCAACAATTGGAATTAAGTTTTCTTTGGAGGAAAATAATTTTAAGTAAAATATGATACTACGTGAAGAAGCCTAAAAAATAAGGAAGTTGCTTCACTAGTCCAGATGAAGCTACCATTGGTGAGTATCACTTCAACCAATAACCATGTGTTAGGCTATTTGTTGGATGGGTGTTAAAATAACCAGGATAAAAAATCCTAGCCCAGTAATGTTATTTAAAACCTCTTTTCTGTTTGGTTTCTAAAAGGTGGATTAATCAGGGTTAGCAAAGAGTGGGGGGTTAACATTTTTTTGTCTGAATGCTAAAACGTGGGCTAAGCCAAGAGAACAGGAGAACGCTGACCCAACGTAGATTATCGAGGTTAAACTTCTGACTGAATTAATGTGTCTCTCTACCCCTAGAGTATTTTTGGGGCGACCAAAAACTACCAAATTATTCCACAAACCCAAAATAAATGTGGCTGTAGTGTGATTCAAACCCCAATTGGGAAGCATTATATTCATGCAGATGTAAGTTGGTGCTGCTGGTACTGAGCTTCTGATTGTTTTTGAACTTATCTTAGAGTATGTGGATGACAAAATCTTGGTTGTTTTTTAGTGTTGTTCTTGTGAGGTGTTTTGTGGCATAAACATTTACTATCTTCTAGCTGCTTAAATTTAGTTGAGAGAGAAATTAGTTAGCCTTACAACCAAAAGCCTTATCTGTCGGAAGAATTATGATTACATGTTACACATGTTCATTCATTCCAGATTGCTAATCATCTTGATCGTGCTGTTGCTAGCTTGGGAAGGAAGCCTCTGAAGGTTTTGGTTCAAGTAAATACTAGTGGTGAAGAATGTAAGTCTGGAAAACAATGTATTATTTATCATTGTGGTTAAATTGATGTTTGTTCTTTATATCTTTCTCACAGAAGACAGCTGTCAATGGAAGATGTCTATCGAAGTTCTATATTTTCTGTCGGCAAGCTTGACACAAATTTAGAGGAGCATAAACAACAATTTAAAAGTCAAAAACATGGTGAAAGTGGTTTCTATCATGTGCATTAACTGGGAGTTACATAAGGAACTTCCTTGGGGTTAATTCATTTCACAGTTGCCAAGTTGATCTCGCAACTGTGTGATTATCACCTTAAACTTGACCATCTTCTCATTGAAGTGCTTTATATTCTTTAGTAAATGATACACTCCAAGCCCAAGCCATTGATATATTGAAAACACTAGAATATTCTTAGTGTAACATAGAATTTTTGAGAGGAGCACCAGCAACCTGCAATCAGTTATAATGTATAATTGACTTAGTCAAGCAGGCTTTAGAATGAAACTATTACATTGTGACGGATGATGAAGAGGTTTTGAGCTTTGGAATCTAGTCATCCTATATATAGCCTTTTTAATAGTCCATTCACATGATTTCTTCTTTCTAATAGTATCATGAGGCAGGCTTGCTAATAGTCATGTATTTTGCAGCATGTGTTTTCTTGTATATATAACACAGAATTTTTTGCAGCAAAATCTGGTGTGGAACCTGCAGCATGTGTAGAGTTGGCTAAGCATGTAAAATTGGGTTGTTCGAATCTTATTTTCTCAGGCCTAATGACAATAGGGATGCCAGACTACACTTCAACCCCAGAAAATTTTAGGGTGATACTTACTAGCTTAAATTACCAGCATAAAATTATGGATAGTAATTATAATGCTTAACTAACCTCTCTGTTTTCTTTGTCAAAAAGAACAGATGTTGTCAAATTGTAGGAATGATGTGTGCAAGGCGCTCGGAGTACCAGAGGAACAGTTTGAGCTGTCCATGGGCATGTCTGGCGACTTTGAACAAGCAGTAAGTCTTGAACTCTCCTTTCTCAGATTTTAATCAATCCTGTCGATACAATAAAAAGCTTGAAGCCACGCGCTCTACTAATGGTCTTGCATTTTGCACCTAAGCCAACATTCAGCAGAAAACAGCTTCTTTAGATAGTAGCAAATGTAAATTACAAATAAGGCAATTTTTGTGACTTCTACAGATTGAAATGGGCAGTACAAATGTCAGAATCGGGTCAACCATCTTCGGACCAAGGGAGTACCCAAAGAAAAACCAGAGCCAATGAACAAAGCCGACTTTAAGTACGCTGACGGTGGATGAACATGGACAGTGACATCAGTGAATACTTGTACCTTTTTTTTTTTCTTTGCAGCAAGTGGGGTATTGGAATTCCATTTAAAATCCCGTATATGATTTTTGTTTGCAATTCAAATATTTTGATCGTTTACTTTCAAGTGGGGTCTTTCACAAATACCTTCAATCATACCGAAACATGAGAAGTTCATGTAAATTGGAGATCCAGAAACATAATAATGTCATGATTTTATCATCAAGCACGAGTTTTGTCTCACTCTTCCTTTCTAATAAATTGTTTGTGTTCTGGTTTGCTTGTATGATTTCGGTATTTATGCTTCGACAGAGTAACAGTGATAATTTGTTCGTCGCCTAATCTGTTTTCATTTTAACTGTACGTCCGATCATCTAAATCTACTGAACATGCATCAACTCTGTGCATTTTCTCAGTTCTGAGTGGGTGAATTCAATAAAAAGAAGTGTTCATTAACATCCAACGTAAAAAAATGAAACTTTGCCATGTCAAATCAAACATTATGAAACCGCAGACATGGATCATATAGATCTCTAGTTCCCACTCGAGTCATCAATTTCATCATGTGGATCTAATGCCTGAATTGGGTTGCCAAAGCAGTAGATCTTAAAGCTTAAAATGCGTCAAGCATCAACAACGTTGGTGCTTCGATCAATATCAAGCTCGGTCGTGCATTAATCGTCTGCTGCTATTGTCGCCGGCCGGTTGCCATCAGAGCGTGGTGGCGGCGGCGCTGCTGCTGCTTCATGAATGAACGGTACGAGGCTCAACTTGGGTGAGATAAGGAATCATCAAAAGATTCCTTGCATGTGCCGCTGCTATGGATGTAATTGCATGTGAAGAAAGAGGGGGAGAGATGCTTCGGAAGGGATATCATATTCCATCTCCGACGATCCTACAGCGACGTCGAGGCAAAGCCGCCCGGACACTTGGATTCCCGCATCCACTTTAGCCTCACACCAGAAAGCATCCCTCCATCCTACTCAGCAAAACATTGCGGACTTTGAAGCACGCCGCCCACCAGTGGCTGCATGCCTTCCCTCCTCCTCCTCCTCCCCTTCCTCAAGCATGTACATCTTGACAGAGACTGCAGCTTCCCTCCTCCTACCTCCCCTTCCATGAACACTTTGGTTTGTGGTCATCATCGATCGTCTCAAACTATATATTCCCTCTCTTCTCATTCTCAAGTGTCTGCATGCCTTCTCTCAGTTACATCCCCCGTAACATTCATCCTGTCGTGGCATGAAAAGGATATGAAACGAAGGACTTCCAAGTGCGTTGTTTGACAAAAAGGCTGAAGCATTGTCTTGGCTCATTTATTGGGAAAACAAGAAATTTATGCCATCCATGTTAGAAAATTTTGATGAAGCCAACTTATGTTTCTAAATCATTGTAATAGAAACACAATAAACAAAT